TTTCTTAATGAACTGTTCTTTTGTTTTATAAACTAGTAGCATAACAGTTTACAAATGGTTCGTCAGCTGTTAGTTTCCGTTCATTTTTAACTCATAACGGTTCTTTATGCTCATTATAGTAATTATCTAATTAAAGACCCCTATATCTTTGCAAACTGATGATATTTCAGACTAAGATTATTTCATTTAATTGAGGCCGAATTTAAAGAATTTGAGCCGCCTCTCAATTTAAGACGTTGCCTAAGTTAAACATGGTTGGTTCCACTTGAAATTGTATTAAGAGTTTCGAGATTTGAGCCGGCGCTCAATTGGAACCGGTTTTTGGTGGTTTAAATTCTTTATATTCGGCCTCAGAATTCATATATTTCATGAATTCATAAATTTCTTAGGTCTATGATATTGGATGTTGTTATAGGGATAAGAAAATCAGAGTATGGCAATAACTCAGTTCATTTCTGTTAAATCTTAAAATTATCTTTTTTTTTACAGAATGTTACACATCGCTATACTCTCACTCTAGTTTAAGTTTAATTAAGAGGATTAGTGAGAATACATTATCCTTGAATGTACATCAAGCGGAAGTAAAAGCGGAAGTATAGACTATTTTAGCCTCCTGTAGATAATGGGTTTTCAACATTGCAGAATAATTTAATATTTTGCATCATGTTCGGAACTATGCAGAGGCGCTTAATGTGTGGAAGACGAATTCGGTGTTCGATGTATCCCGATTTTGGCTTTTTATGCAATTTCTTGTTTAATATCTTTTCCTTCATGCTTGATCCATCTAAAATATAATTAAACACCAAATATAAAGATTTTACATAGGAATTTTTTTTAATACTTTGAATATACTAAAAGCAAAATCATATTTGGGCGATATTTCACATTATAATCAACTAAAATTGTGCAATTAAAAACAATTTTATAAATATCGAACAATTTTTTTCATGCAGTGAAGAATCTGTTCATAGTATTTATTCTAAATATTATAATTGCAACATGTATATTTCAAATTGAAAACAAGGAACTAAATATTTCTTGGTTTAAAACAAGGAACTATATACAGGAACGCACAACTCAGATACGCAAATTGTGTACTGTACACTGCGGGAGGAATGTAAACAAAGCCAGTGCCCCCATAGAAGTTGAAGGGAAAGGAATAAAGCTCTGATGTGATATTAGTCCAACAAAAAACAAGTTAGTATATCAATCGTTAGATCGAATACTTATTATTTTTGGCTTTCTGGTCTTAATATGAAAAATACGATAGCAATATATTTTTTCCCTCAAAAATGATGCGTTGCCCCTGAATGCTTTGTTTTGATCTCCTCCCACTGCAGCACACATATTTGACGCATGCGATATGGCGGTTCCTGGTCTATATACTTCTTTATGAATACATAGAGTAACAAAGTAAAAAGAAAGTACCAAATTGACAGAAAAACTGCTTAAACACGTAATTTTTAAAATTTTTCAATTTTCGTTTTAAAAAATATTCACGTAATTTAACCTCTTATCACAAACACACGACATGAAAACAACAAAGTCAAATCTCAATGTAAAAATGTAAAAATGTAAAAATGTAAAAATGTAAAAATGTAAAAATGTAAAAATGTAAAAATGTAAAGATGTAAAAATAACCAAAAAGTCTTATATTTAAGCTACAAGTACAAGTGTAAAAGGGCAGTTATATTATACTTGGTTCTTCAATAAACATGGGAATTCAGTGATGAATTCAATATCTTCTTTTTAAAATAATTTTTTTATTTAGTATAGTGATGCCTACTGAGAAAGCTATAATCTGTAAGAGTTTCGTCTGCTATGTTCACATTTTGTTTGTTTATGTTTTGACTGCATGCGGTTGTACTTAGTAAAACAAGAAAATTGCATAGAAACGGAGTAAACTTGTCCGTCTACACTGTTCATCTTAGGGAGACATTATAAACACATCTTTACAGTCTTTTTATGAAATAAACTCTAGCAGACATAATAATAATATGGCTTGTTAAATCAGGTATTACAATGCTAATTCATAACAAAGACGATATCGAATTCGTCACTGAATTCCCATGTTTTTTGGGACACCCTGTAGGTAAACCCTGTTTATTTTTACCTTGACCTGGAAAAGCCTAGACACGGTCCATCTAGTAACACTGGTCAGGAATTAATTCCAACCCTGATTTACAATCAATCTCTCATCTTAACTTTTATTGATTTATACCATGTGTAGGCTAGATACAGGGTTACCCATAAAGGATGATACAGAAGGGACAGGCAAGGAAAGTTAATTGCGGTTGCGTATACTCTGCGTACATATTGAAACCAGTTCTCTCTGGGCGGGATTTGTAAACAAAATGCATCAGTGTTCGTTTTGAATCCGAGGAGGATAAAAGCATTTAATTTTGAAAATTTTAATAATTCACATAACAGTTTCCTATGAACAGAATATTTCATAGATTATTTTTGTAAAAATTGATTCCATGTCACGGATCCGTCATGTGTTTACTTTTTCCGCCCAAAGACAGTACACTGCAGTAAAAAAATGCGTAACCCTATGAATTATCTTTCCTTACATTAGTACCTCGGTCCAATATGTTTTTTTGTTGACGTTAAAGGTTCCAAGGAACTGAATAAAAAAAAATTTTCTTTGAAAAATCATTATCAGGACTGCGAACGTAATTTAAAGTGTCCTTCCATGCAAAGACGACAATGCCCGATTTTCAACGGTACCCTTAAACGTTTTGTCACATCAAATTTTAATTAGAAAAGTGTATTTTTATTTACGTAAACTGTTTGTTTTTATTTTTGGTTTCACTGTCAAAATGACTTTTACGCATGTTTATGCTTATAAGAAACAATGGAGAATTTGATTATACATTTTTTTTCCATTTTCTCTCGAAAATAATTTTTTCAAAAATGTTTAACTATGGTTTTTGACCAGTTACCGAAAACTCTGGAATAGGAAGTCGACTTTTAAGGTCAAGTTATGGCTTTAAATAGGCCAATGAACATGAGACATAGCAAATTTGCAGTCTAAACAGACACATTTCACTTAATGAGTGATTTAATAACTTACTAGTAAAGCTTTTAACTTTGTAGCAACATCAAATGCACTTCAGTTTTGCTTTAACGTCGTCTTTCTATTCTACAGTTTTCTGGTTATCACTGTATAATACGTTTGAAGGACCCTAGATATATTTAAAGATCTTTAAAAACATTAAATTCGTCATCTTTGTGATGTAAAAAAGTCAAATTGTCAAAATATTGGTTTCGACGTTTGGAAGTTGTATGAGAGCCTCCTTACGCAGAGAAAGATTAACAACGCTGAAGAGGATTAATTTCTTTATTAAATGGTTTGTAATATTAATAACGCGTTGTAAATATTAAAATTATCTTTTTGTCCATGTACTTGCGTTTCTTTTGGTAAAATCACCCTGTTTGATAGTTAGACAACTTGTTTATGAAAGTAAATGTTTGTTTATTTACAATTAATTTCTCAGACAACCTCAATACAAGAAATATTTATTTCGTAGAAATCACAAAATATGTTTGTGTACTGCATTGTTTACATTTCTCCCATTCCTTGATCACAACTATTATTATTTAATCCCTATATCTTTGCAAAATGATGGTGTAAAACTTATATAATAATATATACGAATTCTGAATTTCATAATTATAATGGTTCATAATTAAGAATTTGAAGTAGCTGCAGTTATGAATTCCAAATTCCAATATACCATAGTATGTCGTGAGATATTTTCTTTAAGGATTTTTGCAACTGTAACAATGAAGGAGATCTCCAAATTTTTTCTTTACTTGTTCAACTTCATAGTTTTTTATTTATAAGGTAGAGGGGAGGACATTCACACGGCGGTGGGTTGGTGTTTCGAAAAATTTAGAAATGCTTAACAACTTTTTAATTAATTAAGCTACAGAGCTAAAATTTGTATATTTAAAACGACCTTGATAAATGGAGTTGATACTATGTGTCACATGTTAATATTTGTCGAAAATTAAAATTATTTTTGAACATTTTCCTACGTACTTTTAGAAAGTTTTAGAAATCCTCTCTTGCACCCTAACCATTCAAGGTAGAGGTCTTCTTTTTTTTAATGAACACTCCTTGAAAAGTTGGACTGGGAACACGTATCACACTCGCCTAGCTCAACTCTAAGGACGAAATCATAGGCGGGGAATGGGGGGTAAGGTTAAGATTTACATTCTTGAAATTATAATCCGACGGGTTTCCCTTGAAACAATCTCCTTACTAAATAAAAGTTTTACTCTAGACTAGAGCACAAAATTAGGTGAAGAATTAGAGCTTTCGTGGCATTGCACATAGAGTAAATCATTTAGCTTAGAGTTAGACACTGAGATATTCAAAATTAAAATTGTATTTCCTTTCAGCATCAGAGTATATGGATCACAGAGCTTTCAGGCAATGAGATTACAACTTCTTACACAGAGTTAATAAGTAACATTGAGCATTATTATTTTATTTTTAACAGAATTGCAAAAATATATATATGCTGAGTCAATCTCGTTGTATTTGTGTATTTTCATAATGTAAGGGCATTTTTTTGTAATATCAATTCAAGATGGACATGACCGTTTTGCTGCGACACCATTATCAATATTGTGGAAGATATTATTGTTTTTCTAGAAACGTGTTAAATTCTTACAATTTCCTCCTTTTTTTGTAGCAGCATATCAAAGTTATTCTTAATCAATTAAATCTATTCACACGGGCAGCCGTAGTACATTTGAATTTCCGATCCGGCTCAACCTTTCCGGTCCCAGTTTGTACTGCACCGCATGGCCATTTGGTTAATAAAGAAGACAATCAACAGAACTAGCCAGTGCAATAAGACTGACGCGGTCAGACTTTATGCTTTAAATAGGTTGAATTTACTTTTACTAAAGTGGCAGCGGTGCGTGTTTAAAATATCGTTTAAAACGAATGGTCTCTTGAAATTACGCCTACATTCCCTTTAAACAATATTATAATATTTCAGATGAGATGGCTGCGGCAATCAAGCCAGGATTGGGATCTATTCCCTCTTCAGAACAAAAATGTCCTCCAAACTTCACTTGCTCAGCAACGGAAAATAATCTTTTAAGAATTTGTAAAAAAAATCTTTTGTCAGTTAAAAGGAGTGTTATTAAAAAATAAAGGGAGTGTTATTGAAAAAATAAAGGGAGTAAAGGCTAAACCTGGATTGAATGAAGGACGAAAATGGATGAGAGAATCGAGTCAGGGAAGAAATCATCAGCATTGAAGTCTTTCATTGGAGACCCGAATGGGCGTCTCGTTGGAGACCCCTAGATTCTCGTTGGAGAATGGAGACCCCCAGATTTTCTTTATAGACCCCCATATTCTCGTTGGAGACCCCCAAATTTTCATTGGAGACCTCATTTTTTCGTTGGTGGCCCCATATTTTCAAAGAGAATCTGGGGGTATCCAACGAAATCATGGGGGTCTCCAATGAAAATCTGGGAGTTTCCAACGAAAATATAGGGGTCTCCAACGATAATCTGGGGATCTACACCAAAAATATGTGGGTCTTCAACGGAAATCTGGGGACTCCAATGCACATCTGGAGATTTCCAATGAGAATCTGGGGGTCTCAAACGAAAATTTGGGGTTTTCAAACGAAAATTATGAGGTCTCCAACGTAAACATGAGGCCTCCAATGAAAATTGGGGGTCATCAATGAAAATCTGGTGGTCTCCAACGAGAATCTGGTGGTCTCCAACGAGACGTTCTAGGGGGAATCCAATAAAAGGGGTGTAAAATAGTACTCCAATGATGATTATTTCCTCCAAGACTCATGAGAATTGAGAATCACCTTCTTTCATCCAGACTAAAAAATCTTCTAAATCAAATATAACAAATCCACGAAAAACTGGATTTAAAAATGCACAGAAAAAATTAAATAATTTAGGTTTTTGCCGCAATAGTTGAAAAAGATTGTTACCGTTTGTTTTCAACTCTGGTTTAGCCTTTTTACCCCTTTATTCTTCAGGAACACTCCTATTAAATTTTTAGACTTTATTGAAAAATTCTTTAAACTTTATCTTACAAATTTTAAAAAGCTTTAGAATTCTTTCAAATTTTCAATAAACAACACCCCTTGTACTTTCTTTTATATTTTTGTCCTTTCAAATAGTTTTCAATTCAATTTAGGAGAAAATGGAGAATAAAATATCTGGAATTGACAGGCTTTAATAATCAAAAAACATTTTCGTTTTCCAAATCAAGATTTTCTTTTAAAAAGTAAGAATAGATTTATTAGGCATTGTTTTGATACTCAGATTCTTACCTTTAAACTCATTTTTGGATATTAACTTTTGAGGTTAAATTAATATGGCAAGCTAATTTTGTTTTCAAAATATGTTAAAATGAGTATTATTTTACAGACAGAGTTTTGTCAAAATCCAAAAACAATTTGTTTTTCTGCATAAGAAATAAGTCATTATCTAAAATCTAAAAATATCGAAATTCTGCGAACTTAAAATTTTGTATTCTAAAAAAGACAAGATATTTTTGAGGAAATATTTTCAGTCCTTCTAAAAGATTATTTTGTGTAGCCCTCTCTCACCTGTACAGAGGATATGCACATATCCGCCATAATCCTTCTCATTCTAGGAACATACAGATATTTCAAGTTTTTTTACATTAATAAAACCCAAGTGAGAACCAGAAAGCTGTAGCGTGATTTTTCCCCCCTTTTGTGATTTTGCAATGGTTGCAACTAAATGTTCAGAGCTGGGAATTTCTGTTTTGGATTCTCATAATCCCGATTACTTAATCTCGATTATCGAATAAATTAACTAAAGATCAAGAGCAAGCATTGATCTTGATATCCACAATACAATAGTTCCCAGTTAAGGCATTTTGATGAAAATGGTTCAGTTACAAATGACCAAATCTTTGTTTTTCATAATCATAACCAATCATAATCAGATCATGTTTGAATAAGATGTCAATTATTCTCTTTTAAAATCTAATTATTTCAAATGGTAGTTTTTCATACTGTTGTAGGCGATAATATCAATATAATGAAGACAACATTTTTATTTATAAGGTTTTAATTGTTAACAAGCTTTTTTCGAATTAGAAGTTTACAAGCAATTAAAGAGAAGCTTTTTTCAATGTTTTTTTGTGTATTTATTCTGTTTAAAAGCTTGATATAGATAAAAATTAAAATCGAAAGTCGTCTGACATAATCGCTTATTATCATAGCAAAAATTACTTGCACATATATACAGCAAATGAAGGGAAGGGAAATTGATAGAATTACTTGAAGGGTCATCTAAAATTCCAGCGACAGAGTGTTTTTTTATAGATAAATAAATAAACATAGATAGCTTATGTACGCAAATCACCAAGAATTGTACAGTCCGCGAACTCATACTTCTAGGGGTCAAAGTGTACTTCAATGATAAGCGGGGTAGTTTGGTGTTTTAATGGATTTCATAATAGAGTGAAAATAACTCCGGGAATGGAACTATTTGAACAACAATATTTCACTGAGCAATATATCATATTGACGAGAACTGAAGAAGGACATGAGAAGGACTAAACTAACTTAAATTTCTCTCTACAGAACTCATGCACACCACAAGTACTCAATGACATAAGAACAGCCAATGTTCACAACCAACCTAGTTAATCTATATAATAGGAATATCTTTAAAACATTTCAAGATGAAAAATGTCGTCTTATGCGCAATCTATCTTTATCTATGGTGTTTCTTAGTACATAATTTTCAAATATTTTTTTTATTTATATTTTTGTCTATTATGGGATAATTATAATATATACAATTAAGAAATTGTATGAATGAAAAAATACTAATAAATGGATACTGTACTGTAGGAGGATCAGGGGTTTTCATGAACTTTCTCTTTGTTCTCATAATAACAATCAAACGACCGCTAGAGAGGTAGTTTTATTCTTATTTTAACTTTCTCACCATTTAACGAAATCCACATTTACAAGTGATAAACTCATAAACTTTTGTTTACAATTAAAATAAAAGCCCTACCCTCCCCCCCTTGGGTGGCCCCCTAATTTTTCACATTATTTTTGTCCGTGGGAGGATGGGGGGGGGGTCTATTTGTCCGTACGTGAGAGGGGGGGTGATGTGTCTGTTTGTCCGTGGGAGAGGGGGGTCTGTTTGTACGTGGGAGGAGGGGGGTCTATTTGTCCACCAATCTAAAGTAAGTCTGGAAGGAATTTTACCGAGAAAGGTCTTAAAGAGATCTATAGCTGTAAAATATAAAAGATAAATGTTAGTTCTAAATTATTTTCTATTCTTCAATGTCTTAAGTAAACATTGAATGTTGGTAAACATCTAGAAGACGGATTGATGAAAATCAATTAAAAATGTTTTGAAAACTGAAGTTGGGTCTGTAAAACTTTAGAGTGTGAAGACGACATTTCAGAGATCTCATGTGTATTTTAGGTTGATTATAAGCAAAATAGTTGTACTGCAGTAGCTTTATTATACTCAACAGGTCTGTGTCATTGCACAATTGTCGTGTTTCATGGAGGCTTGATATCGCGGATCTTCGATATTTTAAGCTTTGAATTATGCTTTTAGATTACAAAAGCCAAAGTTTAAACTGTTTAAAATGTTTGAACCATATCTTTTTGAGAAAGTCTACAACGTTTGGTCTCGGTACCCAGTGCCCCCCTGTGAGGCTGTGAGTTGTGACAACGTTCAATTCATACAAATTTGTGTTTTTGCCAAAAATTAATGTTCTCTATAACGAATCTGTTGTGCCCTTCCTTTGTTAACTACAGTTAAACCCTGAATATTAAATACATCGAAAGAATTCATCAAATGTCGTATTCTTCACTTTCTGATAATAGAATGCTGCAGAAATTTAACTTTTAAATTAGATGATTATTTGAAGCTCTTTAAAACTGTTCCCGCATATTCATGGCTATTTATTTATTTTTGCAAATACTGAGATTTACGTAAAATAGTATAAAACCCATTGAAAAATTGTCAAGACGAGATTTGATAAATTCTTTCGATGTATGGCTCATTTAGGGTTTAACTGTATAAAATAATTTTAATAGTTTCCATTTATTATCCCATCTCCTAGTAATTCGCACTCTACAGAGTTACCCACTGCACAAAGGATGAGACTGTAAAGACGACCTCAAACTTTAATAGTATGACTTTCCCAAGCTTGAAAAAAAGTCCTCTTCTTCTTCAGTCTTTTAATGCAGATTATTTAATGATTGGGCAAAGAAAGTAACAAGTTTACAGTGCAGGGAATCATGAACATAAGTAAACAGTGTCCGAATTTAATGAACTTGAGCCGTGTCTCAAATCTGCCAAAAACCGGTTTCAATTGACCGCCGGCTTAAATCTTCAAAAATTGAAAACAATGTTAAGTGGAACCATATTTGCGCCGCGGCTTAAATTTAAACCGATGCTCAAATTCTTTATATTCGGCCCCAGGCAGTATAAATTTGGTACAGTCTCATTCTTTGTTGATAGCCTTGTGCTAGGTTCCAATTATTCTGCTTTGAAGTGTACTTGAGCTTAAAGTAAAACTTTCACATAGATATTTCATTAAAATATTCCTTGTCATTGAAAATTCACAAAAATCAAATTTTATTAACAGTCTAATTTTTTCCAGAAACCCTTTTCTTTCATAAGATGTTCGTTGTTAATATCATTAGACGGTGAACAGATCATAACTCTGTTTTAATATTATTTAAGATAAAAGGAAAACTTTTAGACATTGTTTTGATGTCGATTCGATGTTTCTGAAATTTAATGCTCGTCCTAAGGGATACAAAGGTTGCACGCTCTCAAGCAAAAATTCATGAGAATTTTGCCAACTTCTTCTTAAGAACGAAATCTGAAAACAAAAACTGAATAGTCTAGGGCTACAAAAAAAGCATAAGCTAGTTGGAGATGAGGTAAATTCAAATTCCAAGGCGTTGCGACAGTTTAAATTCAACCCAGTTTTGAAAAATGATGCAGTTTTTAATAGCAGTCTGGATCTATATGCGTCGTGGCCCCTTAAAAGTTTATGCACTTTGGAGAAAACAAAAAATACTGCCAACCAGTGTACAGTAGGTTATGCCTCATACCTTTCTCAAGAAAAGAAATTATACAGGGTGTCCCAAAACAAACGATCTTGAAGACATTGTAATACTTACCATGGTTCAATTTTCAAAAAAGTATTAATCGTTTGAAGTTTGTCATTTTGGCCCTGGTTGAGTTCATGAATTCAAATTACTCCAATTTTAAACATATTATGGAATTTAATTAGGGTCTGAAAAACATGCTAATCTTCTAAACAAATCACAGCTTTGCCTGAATTAGAACTAAGAAATGGTGGCTATTTGAATACTCTATCTATGGTGGCAGAAGGGCGGATCCTAATACTTCCTTAATGTTTGTGCTACAAACCACTAATTGGTATCAATTTTAAAATTTACAATTTAAAGTGGTGAGTGCTACACTGTCTTAAAGATCGTTATTTTGAGATACCCCGCAAAGTTTGAGATTTTACTAAAATTTCAGATTTTCTTTTTTTTTATTATCACAGGATCTAATTACTGGTTCCCCCCCCCTTTTTATTACGACTTTTTTAAAATCTAATTTTATCAAAATTCTATAAATCATTAGATGATAGCAACTGCAAATATTTTTACATCTCTTTTTTTCTAGATCTCCATTTTCTTCCTGTTGTTTTTGCATCATCCATTATTTTGATAAAGAAAACAAAATATTGCAATTGCCGATTTTGCCGATTTTGAACTCTGTATAGTGTTTGATCACTTAAAGTGAATATTTTTCTGAACTCTGTATAGTGTTTGATCACTAAAAATAAACATTTTTCTGAACTCTGGATAGTGTTTGATCACTTAGAATAAATATTTTTTCTGAACTCTGTATAGTGATTGATCACTAAAAATGAATATTTTTCTGAACTCTTTATAGTGTTTCATCACTAAAAATGAATATTTTTCTGAACTCTGGATAGTGTTCGAGCACTAAAAATGAATATTTTTCTGAACTCTGGATAGTGTTTGATCACTAAAAATGAATATTTTTCTGAACTCTGGATAGTGTTTGATCACTAAAAATGAATATTTTCTGAACTCTGTATAGTGTTTGATCACTAAAAATGATTATTTTTCTGAACTCTGGATAGTGTTTGATCACTAAAAATGAATATTTTTCTGAACTCTGGATAGTGTTTGATCACTAAGAATGAATATTTTTTTCTGAACTCTGGATAGTGATTGATCACTAAATGACTATAATTTCAGGTGGAGCCAGGGTCTGATTATTCATCAAGCGTTTATTGACTGTGCTAGAGCATCTATTCTTCTACCCATGGGTATATACTAACTATATATGCATATACATATATATACGAACTATGTATATATACATATATGAATAGCGAGATCTTGAATATAATAAAGCATTTTTTTGGTAATCTCATTTGAAAAATATGTATAAAATATTAAATTTTTATTTTTGATGGGCAATCTGATGGACCCTTCAAAAGAAGTTAAACTTTTTTTCCCTCAAAATAAGGTGAGTAGACATACAAAAGTGCGGGGATGTATTATTTCTATCACACCATAAAATCTTAAACAGATCATATGATAATAGTTTTTGGAGAAAATGCGCAAAATTAAATTCAGAAAATCCGCAATCAACATACTTTCATGAAAACATTCTTTTATGTGATTATTCCCGTTATTCTGATTCAGACATTCTTAACTATCTCAGAAATACATACCACAAAAACAATTTAGAAAGAATAAAAATCATTAAAATAAATTTTTCAAAAACAAAATTGCACAGTTTCTAAATTTAATATCGCGCATTTTTCCAAAAATATTCATCTGAGCTGAAAACTTTTGAATGGTGGATATCGAGATTAATGCTTGATCCTTTCTTTATCTTAATATCAAGACTAACCTAATCTTGTACTTGTATCCTGAAAAGTGTATAAAATTCAACCAATCAGAGTCGCGTATATGAAGCCGATAAATTTTAAATTTTGCCCGACATTCAAGATTAATTCAGAAACGGGAGGGACTCTCTTATTTTAAAAAAAACAGGTTTCTGATTTTAGTATACTTTATCCAAGAAAGAATGGATTAAGAAGAAAATCAAAAGTGTGTCCATTAGATATTCAGATTAAGTAATCCGGATTAAGGATATATTTTAAGGTGTTATAGAAATAATATATGCCCATACTCATGTTTTTCTACTTATCCAATTTTAAGAAAAAAATTGTGTGGCGGAATTTTTTTAAAGGGTTTATCAATCATATTGCCTATAAGAAAAAATTCAAAAATTTCATACTTTTATTGTCAAAAATGAGATTACCAAAACAAAAATTCTTTATTATATTCAAGATCTCGCTATTCACCCTATTTTTTTTTACTCACCCTGTTTATATATATAACCTCTTTTCTTTTCAACTTCTCTCTCTTTAACCATACATATTTATTTGACTTTTCGTTAACTTCCATTTAACTTCATTCGAATTGTCTTTCCCTTCCCTTTAACTTCATTTGACTCTGGGTTTAAATCCCTTTAACTTTATTTCACTTCTTTTTAACTGCCATTTAATAACTTTATACTTCCTTTACTTTTTGAAACTTAAATTTCACTTCTCTTTAACAACACTACAACTTTCTATCAACTTCTCTTTAACAACACTACAACTTCCTATCAACTTCTCTTTAACAACACTACAACTTCTCACTTCCCAACAACTTCTCTTTTACTTGGTCAACTTTACTTTTCCATCCCTTAACCTTACTTTTAACTTACCTGGCACTTCCATTTAGCTTCCCTATAAGGGCTCTTTTTACACTGCTTTAACAACAATGAGATTTCCACCAACTTCCCTTAAACTTGTTTTAACTTTCCTTTTACTTTCCTTTAACTTCTGTTTAATTACTCCGTTGCAATATTTTATCTTCATTTAAATATTTTAAACTTATCTTTAACTTTCTTTTAAATTCCCTTTAACTTTCCTTAAACTTTTCTTTTACTTCTTTTTAATTTCTACTTTGCAATGCTTTATCTGCACTTAAATATTTAAAACTTACCTTTAACTTTTCTTCAACTTTGCTTTAACTTTCCTTTAACATTTCTTTAACTTTCCTTTAACTTTCCTTTTACTTACCTTTAACTCTCCTTTAACTCTCCTTTAACTTCCTTTTACTTCCCTTTAACTTCCTTTTACTTCCCTTTAACTTTCCTTTAACTTTCCATTACCTTTCCTTTAACTTCCCTTTAACTTCCCCTAACTTCCCTTTAACTTCCCTTTAACTTCCCATTTATTTTTATTTTTTCTTTAACTTTCCTTAATGTAAGGGAATTAATATGTGACACATTAAGACAACTATGAACGTATAGTTTACTTTTAATAACTGTCGTTACTAACCTTGTCCTGGCCAGACACATATCCATCTTTAGTATATAGGGTTGTTCTATGTATTTTTAGCAATAAATCTTTACTTCCCACAATGGATGAAACTGAACAGGCGAACCAAAATGAATTCCGTACAGTCGTCTCCGAAGTCTCATCCTTTGTTGGTAACCCTGTATATAAGTTGACAACTGATTTTGTTTATCCTCTCAACCTATTTGTACCTACGTATATATATATAATTATAGTAAACATTTACAACTATTATCTTAGCGCGGAGTATATTTGAGTGTACACCCATAACAAAATGTTCTCTGGTAGAAACTACATTTCTTCTTCTAGTAACAGTATCTACGGTAACTTTTTATATCACACTTTTATTCCAAGTTCAAACTCATTTTCTATTTTTCTATTTTTTATATTTACGCTTTTATATTGTTCCATTTAAAAAATTACGACATTTATTTTATGCAAACTTTTTTAACATGACCATTTATTTATATTGATATTTTATTATAATTTACATAATAGCATTTTTATTTTTATTCCAAAAAGACAACTAACCTTCTTTCTATGTGATTTCTATTCACTGTTGAAAAGTTAATGTTTCTCTAAGAATAATCTGTAAGAAGTTTTTGTAATAACCAATAAAAACTTTTTCTCAATTCCGCTGAAAGATTTCTTCTTCCGGGTTTTATAAAATGACCTTATCAGAAATTTATCGGAATTGATCAGAATTCAACAGAATTTATTAGAAACTATCAGAATTTATCAGAATTGATCAGAACTTATCAGAATTCAAAGAATTACCTTGTAATTACAAGTACAATGAATTACCTTGTAACTACAAATACAAAGAATTACCTTGTTACTACAAATACAAAGAATTACCTTGTTATTACAAATACGAAGAATTACCTTGTTATTACAAATACAAAGAATTACCTTGTAATTACAAATACAAAGAATTACCTTGTAACTACAAATACAAAGAATTACCTTGTTTTTACAAATACGAAGAATTACCTTGTTATTACAAATACGAAAAATTACCTTGTTATTACAAATACGAAGAATTACCTTGTTATTACAAATACGAAAAATTACCTTGTTATTACAAATACGAAGAATTACCTTGTTACTACAAATACAAAGAATTACCTTGTTATTACAAATACGAAGAATTACCTTGTTATTACAAATACAAAGAATTACAAAGAATTAAGAAGTAGACTATGATACTTTTTCTGGGTATTGATATTGTCGTGTTATAAAATAGACTTTTTTCTGTCAATGTTCTTCTTTAATTTTAGTCGGTCAGTGCAACTTTTTAAGGAGACCACAAATGAAAATTATATATTATTAGAGGAAATATATGGCTATCTTTCTCATTGATGTTTAGTTTTTAATTCTATCATTGTGAATCAGGCGTGCTACTTCTAGGGGGGGGGGGTCTCATTCAAACAACGTTAACAGTCCCTTTAATAGGTATTTTTAAATTTAGGTAAACTTGCTCACAGTTGTCCTTAATGATGCCCCTGTGGTTCCCGAGGTATTATATATTTCTTCAACTACAGAACGCTTGGCGCCACTTTTTTCTTGACGAAAGGAATTGAACACTCGCCAATAAACTTAATCAGTTCATCTTTAATAACATTAAAAAGTTTACAACATCAGGTTGCAAATATTTAAGAGTTAGAGAGTATTCATTTCCTTTCTGTTTGTGTCTAACAATGTTATTTCCTTTAGTACAAAATTAAAAATAAGAAAAAACAAAAATATCACCAAATTATCCTTTTTGTCATTTAATCCAATAATGCTTATAAAAGACTGTATAGACAACAAACAAGCAATATGATATTCATATCTTTTTATAAAAAGGTACTTTGGAAAATCTATAAGTATACATTGTACACAATTATAATAACAATCTAGTACATATTTACAAGTGAAGATATACAGAGATATTGTGAAGATACACGTACTGTCAATTTGAAAAAAAAAACTAAAGAAGCTTTTTAAGAATCTTCAAATATAGTGAAAATACGTCACCAAAAAGTTAAAGCTTATTCAAAGAGTAAAAAGTTAATGTAAAAAGTTGATCATTTTTCCAGATTTACAAGATACTGTCTTTGAAAGTTGTAAGAAAACTGCACATTTTATGAGAAACTTTGTGGGAAAACAAATTTCATGAAATGTAAAAAGAACGCTGTTAATTTTTCTGAATAGTTAATCTTATCCCTGCCACACCGTGTCAAGATTTTAAATCAATAAAACCTTGAGTATTATTGATCGGCAAAAAGGTTGAAAGGTTCCCTTTGTGTATCGGACATGTCTTATTTCTAATCGATATTTGAAATGACAAGAAATCTAGTTCCTTCAACCCTTAAACAGGGGCTAAGTAGATAATCTAGTTCCTTTAACCCTTAAACAGGGGCTAAGTAGATAATCTAGTCCCTTTAACCCTTAAACAGGGGCTAAGTAGATAATCTAGTCCCTTTAACACTTAAACTGGGGCTAATTGTAGATAATCTAGTCCCTTTAACCCTTAAACAGGGGCTAAGTAGATAATCTAGTCCCTTTAACCCTTAAACAGGGGCTAAGTAGATAATCTAGTTCCTTTAACCCTTAAACAGGGACCAAGTAGATAATCTAGTTCCTTTAACCCTTAAACAGGGGCTAAGTAGATAATCTAGTTCCTTTAACCCTTAAGCAGGGGCTAAGTAGATAATCTAGTTCCTTTAACCATTAAACAGGGGCTAAGTAGATAATCTAGTCCCTTTAACTCTTAAACTGGGGCTAAGTAGATAATCTAGTTCCTTTGCAAAGAAGAAGAAATCATTGTTTACGCCTGAGTGTTCTGGCAAATATTTGTAAAACATTTTTCCAGAGCTGAAAAAATAATTTTTAAGACTCTTTATTTTTAGCATATATTTATTGAGCTCTACCTGTACCCTACACATGCTTCAAACAACGTTCGAAAATATCTAAAAAAACACTTTTATATCAAAGTTTTAATTTAAGACACCCTGTATGTAATGTTATTTAAAAGCCTCTCCTAGCTCTACTCACAAATTGAACTGTCAAACTCAATTCGGTTTCCCGATATTTTGAAAGGGAAATGTGTCTATAAAGTATATATGGTTATTTAACCCTATCCAGGCTGGTGTCTGGTTTACCAAAATAGTCTAAACCCCCTCCTCCCCTCTATTTCATTAGTGTGATACAAATCTATAACATTTGATAAACTTTTGGAAATTTCAAGTTATTAAGCAAAAATTGTGCAAAAACAAAAAGTTCGCGAAGTATGATAAATTATACATGTTTGAAAAGCAAAAAACTATTCAAATTTCTTCGCAAAAATTGTGCAATCTGCTTCCTTTTGTTAAAAGCTTTTTATAGAGCTATATAAAGTCGTCAAAATCCAAAGACCGGAAGTAGGTCTAAATATAGATTTAGCCGGATAAAGGTAAAAGTAAAATAAGGCAATCAGGCAGTATGCCTGAGGACTCAGGCAATTATTATAAAAGACCCGCTTTGAGCCTAAAGTTAGGAGCATGTGTTAGTTAGAAAGGTCGAAACATTTGAACAGCCTCAGTTTAATATTCAAAAAAATTGTCAAGGGGAGGGGGTCCTAGGGACCCCCCCTTGGCCGGTATAGGGTTAAGTGTTAAGGTTAAGTGTAAACAAAAATTAAACTGTCTTAAAAATTAATATCTATAATATTCTAGTATTTATTATTAGTTAAGTGGACGGCGTTGCCCGTAATATTTGCCAAACTTTCTTTAAACGTTGTTTCAGTGTATTTTTGGCGGTTTGCGTCTCGAATAAAATATCATGTATAAAAAGTAGTAATCTCTGTTTGTTTGTTTATTTTTATGTCAGTTCATAACTAATGAACCCCTGGACCGCTTTGCCTCAAATTTTGACTGGGAAACTCGGGAGAATCATGGAAAGTTCTTAGCTTGGTTTTGAGATTCTAAGTAATGAGTGGGCCGACTTTTTTTCAGGGAAACATAGCTGATATCGTAATTTAAGACTATTGCGTGGACAATTGACGGGAGTAACTTGAGTTACCTGGGCAACGCTACGTAGTGATCGGACCCAATTTTTTAACCCTATCTCCGCTGGGGTACTTGAAAACCAGGATACGCTGGGGGGGGGTCAATTTGACCCCCCCCTCTAAATCCCATGTTTTATGTCCAAATAAGACAAATGATACATCATTAGAAAACTCTTGTGCTCTACTTTTAGAATCTGCAAAAAAATTTGCAAATTTGCGAAAATTGAATTTTTTATCGCAAAATCCAGTTTTATAGTAAAAATGTTTGCAAAAAAAAATTTGTCCAAAAAATGACAAATTATACATTTTTGAAAAGCCCTTGACCATGCCATTTCAAATATGCAAAAATTTTTGCAAAATTTTAAATAACCTGATTTTTAATCAAGAAAAACTAAAAATGTGCAAATTTCCTTTGACAGAATTTTTGCAAAAAATTTGCAATTTTTTTTTCGCAAAACTTGTGCAATCCGTTTCCTTATGTCATAGGCTTTCCAAAAAGCTAAATTTTATCAAAATCTGACAAGTGAAAGTGGGTCAAAACAAAGATTTAGTTTGCTACAGGCAAAAGCAGTCATTCAGGCAGTGTGCCTGAGGACTCAGGCAGTTAGTATTAAAGCCCGGTTTTAGGCCTAAAGGGAGGGCTTTGGGTATGTAAGAAAAGTCAGAAAATTTCAACAGCCTCAGACCAATACTTTTAGAGTTATGTAAAAAAAACTACAGGGGGGGGGTCAAATTGACCCCCCCCCAGCGGGAATAGGGTTAAGGGCAACTCACGACCTCTGGAATGGTTTATAAATTATGGCTATGTCTTGTATTTGTTTTGATATAGTTTAATTGAAGGTCTCGGTTTTCCTAATTTTAATTTTCACAAAAGTAATTTTAAGAAAATTATTCTATTTCTTCTTATTGTTTAATATCCCTGAAATATTATGTTTGATAAATGTTGAACTATAAATCAAATCTGTAGAATCATTATATCCTAACCCTAGTTAATTAATGTTTACAATCCATTATTTGGTGGATTTGAACAAGATTATGTTGAAATTGACCCTAGTTAATATTGTAATTATTATTTTCACGAAAACTTCAAGAGCAGGTCCTTATTTTATTTAGTTGTCCCAAAGGACGTTAAGATACTTTAAATCCATTGTCCCAAAGGACGTTAAGATACTTTAAATCCATTGTCCCAAAAGACGTCAAGATACTTTAAATCCATTGTCCCAAAGGACGTCAAGATACTTTAAGTTCATTGTCCCAAAGGACGTCAAGATACTTTAAGTTTATTGTCCCAAAGGACGTTAAGATACTTTAAATCCATTGTCCCAAAGGACGTTAAGATACTTTAAGTTTATTGTCCCAAAGGACGTCAAGATACTTTAAGTTTATTGTCCCAAAGGACGTCAAGATACTTAAAGTTTATTGTCCCAAAGGACGTCAAGATACTTTAAGTTTATTGTCGCAAAGGACGTCAAGATACTTTAAGTTTATTGTCCCAAAGGACGTCAAGATACTTTAAGTTTATTGTCCCAAAGGAGGTCAAGATACTTTAAATCCATTGTCCCAAAGGACGTCAAGATACTTTAAATCCATTGTCCCAAAGGACGTCAAGATACTTTAAGTTTATTGTCCTAAAGGTATCAGAATGTTCCACGACGATATCTTAATCTTATTCGTTGTTTTATATAAATGTAAGGTCATTTGAAATTAAGTCTGGAGTCCCTTGATAGAAAACCTGTGTCTGCCCACATCTTGTATAGTCCCTAAGGTGCAAACACTAGGAGCGATCAAATAGATTATCAAGTACAATAGGTGGCAACAGTGAAATGGACCAATTATACACGACGTCACAAGTGTCAAATATAACAAGGAAAACGACTTTTTCTCACAAGTTTTCCAAGATTAAATAAAAAAGTATAAAAAAAAGAAAATAAAGAACACATACAATTGAACTTATTTCACTGTAAGATGAGTACTTTAAACTGAAATTATCACTATTATTAATAATTTTCTCTGACACAAAAACCAAGTTGACACTTGTGGTAACGTTAGAATACAGCCGTACTGAGAGTGTACAAAATCTACGTTGACATCTCGTGTACTAGAATCTATTTGGGAGCGATGAAACCCCCCCGTCTCATAAAATTAAAAACATTTTTGAAATTGATTATCATATATTTTCATATAACCTATACTATTGCAACCTGAAAGTGTAAACCTTTGATATATTTCAAACTTTGACTGTTTGATTTAGAAAATTAATAGTTTTACATCCTCTGCTTCTTTTTTATTTTGTAACTCCCGTTCCGCATTCCCCTCACGCTGAACTAGACAATGGACAGCAGAATATTGTCAAATTTACACAACAACACTGGTTCGACTTTGTTACTTCGTAGCTGCTCTAGCTTTAATTGTATATGCATAAGTATGAGAAAATAAAATCAATTGTATATATGCTAAAATTTCAAAACAGTTTTGTTCTTTTCGAAAGAGTTAAAATTAAAAATATTTCAATTTAATATGCAGAAAACTTCAGTTTATCATACTCTTTATTTTTTTGCCACCCCAGCCTTTTTTTTATAGTTCGCTTTTAACATTGTATGTAATGGTTTTGAAAACTTTATCTATTTCTTCATCTGTTTTTATTCAAAGATTCACTTTAAGTTTAATTGTGTTTACAAAGTTACATTAAAAGTGAGATGAGACAATCCATACAAACTGCCAAAACTGAAAAGTTTAAGCCAACGTAAACCAAAATAAGTTCTTTTATGCAAAAAAATCTGTTGTAAATCGTTAATCAATAGAATTAACTAATGACTGTCTTTTGTGTGGAGTAGAGAGGCAAGGACTTGGAAGGGTCGGGATGAGTAAAAAAGGTTAATTTGAAGCTGAGCAATAACATGAAATTACTTTTTTAAGAGACTATTCTGTTAACCTTCAAAACTTCCCTAGCGTTTACGGAACCTCTGTAGGCCTAGAGCTGGGCATAGTTTTTTTGGATGAACAAATTTTTTTTTGTGAAAAAGGGCGTTGTTTATTAAAAAACCTTAACGATGGATGAAAAAAAGGATCGTTTAGAGAAATGAAAAAATTATAGTTTTTAAACACTAACGAAAAAAAAATGTTAAATTGTTTGAACGAACTTGAAGAATGTTAGTTTATTTACTGAACGAGCAAAGTTTCCCTAAGATTCTGATTCTGAACAAACGATTTATTGAACAAACAATTTTACTAAACAACAAACCATTTTACTGAACTAATATTGCTGAACGATCGTTCAGTGAGAAAACGAAGAAAATGAATGGAAAGTGAACAATTATTTGAGAAAAAACGAAATCATTTTTTTGAACGATTGAAAAAAAGAACGAAATGAGTCCTTCACGAAGATGAACAAACAAAATAAAAAAAGTTGAACGTTCTCATCTCCATGAGGCCTGCATTATCATCCTGTAAGATACAGATTTTAATTACGAAAAAAACCATACGATACTATAAACGAGCATTATTGTTCATATTTAATAACTAAGACAGTCAAAGATTTAAATATCAAAGTTTACACCATCATGTTTTACAAATTTTGGGATTAGAAACTTGAGATTTTCACACAACATCATTCGCTTCATCGTAAGTTTTCAAAAACTTCATGAACGGCCATTTACCCCAACTCTAAATTGATTGTGCAGTGTGTACCATTCATATAGTTAGTTAAGCCTGTCTTCTATTTTTCATTCTTAAGCCCCTGCAATTACTCAACTTTATTATACTTGTCTAAAATAAGAAATGATAGAATGAAAATATAAAATAAGGATTATTATTCTTATAACAATGTTTTTAGTTCCAGACATTTTATTTTTCCAAGAAGAAGATATTATTTCTGAGCATTATTTTTACCAAACAGGCTTTCTTTTTTTTTTTTTTACAAATTGGGAATTTTTATTTTACCATAAGATCTTTTTATTTCTCTATTCCATACATACTAAAAATAGGTTTACTGTTTAAAAAAAATATGTACTCACTACCTCCATTAATTTAGATTAACGATGGTGTTTGTCTAAGTATACATAAAATTGACAATATTCAAGAAAAAACATTAAAGTGAATAATTGATGGAACTCTTTTATTGAATGTGAACTTTAAAAAGTGACCTATAATATGATGTATATAGATGGTATAAACTATTGTTAACACAAATTCAAAATATAAGGAAGACGATTTTACCGACTCAAATGCCGTCGACTATTCTCAAGACGTGTGTATTTATTTCCGCCATGAAGCGCCCATGTGTGTCACCCTCGCCCCTTTGTCCCCCCTCACCCCTCTACACATCCCAGCCCTCAGTCAGGTTAGGAGAGTTGAGCTGGTAACAGCTCCGACACAGGGAGCCTCTTGACTCCTTTATGATGATGACGCAGATACTCAGTTAACAGCAGACGTGCTTACCCGAAGGGTTCCTAGTTTATCATGCATTCCGCTTCCAGAGACAACATAATCGCTCTAATCCAGCATGATAAAGGCGCGATCTCTGCCTACTAGGTCGGATAAGCCCTGTTGTTCCAGTTCCTGTTGATCTGCTCCACCAACATGAAGCTCTACATCACTCCTATGAAGTACCCACAAATATTCATCATTAATTCCTTTGTTAATTTCTAAACCAACCAATTTTAACCCAGTCTTGGGAAAATATTTCAAAACTTTCGTTTTTTTTTTAAAATAAATGTTAGAAATATCCATGTTTAGATCTCTTTATTTTACTATAGTGACTTTTAAAGTCAACAACGATATAGTTCAATAAAATAATTTATGGTGGAACCATGTGACGTGTCGTAATTTAAAAAGGGCAGTAAGCGTAATTCTAAGTAACCCTCCATGTCCTCCATGCAAAGGTGCCATTGCCCAATTAACACCGGCGGTGGTACCATCAAAACATTTATCTGACAAATAATATGGAAGATATTGTCGTTTTTCTATGGTTGAAGTGTTTAATTCTAATAATTAATTTATGTTTTTCTGCAGTAGAAATGCCAAGTCACTTTTGCAGAGGAACCAAAATTTTAAATTATTAATTATACTTGATCAGACAAATCTTTAAGGGTACCTTTGTAAATCGGCCATTGCCATCTTTGCATGAAGGATAACTTGAAATTACACTTACAGACCCCCATCCCTGTAAGTGAAATATAATCTTAAATTCATTTTTATTATTACCTTTTATATCTTTACCTAAGAAAAAATAAAGGAGAAAAACTCTGTCATCAATTTAAAAATTGGAAATTTAGGATTTGTTAATCAGAATTGTAAATAAAACAAAAAAAGTTGTAAATCAGAAAAGCAACTCTTTTTAAGATTGTCAGACAATTTTTCGAATTTGTTTTACACATTTTTAACATAGTATTGTATCTGTCTTTAGGATGAAGAGCAGGAGGGGATAGTGAAAATCAGAGAAAACTCTCAATGTGTGGCATTTGGACTCTTCATGATTTGGTAAACTATATTTTTTTAATGCTTGAAGGCTTGTCCCGTTTCTGGAACTTGTTTTCGACATTGAAATGTTTAAAGTTAGGCTTTATGAGTTTTGTCGATTTATTTAGCGCTATAAAATTTTCAAATATCTAAATCTAATTGAAATATTTCTTTTTTAGTTATAACCGTACGTAGATAAAGAGTTATAACTCAAAGAAAAACAAATAAAAACAAATCTTTCCTTAAAAGAATTTAGTGTTTGCGAAAAACCTGAAATGAATAAAATGCCTTAGAACCGCGGGATTATTGTCAAAAAATTAAAACATTTGTCGCGATAGCAAGCGAAGAATCCAGCAATCTAACGGGAGACATATCATTGTCCTCCAAAATAACATGAAAACATAGTTTTATTTAATTAAGATAGTATAAGAAAATAATTGTGTTTTAAATAAAATACATTATATATCGGGGATTTCATTGGATTTTGTGTTTTTGCGAAAAAATTTTTTCTTAAAATTTTCTTATAACTCAAAGTCAAACATTAGGCTAAGAACATCTTGATATCTAGTACTCCCAAATCAATTCAGGGTTAGTCTATCTAAACCCCCTTTTAATTTTGTGCATGTTAATTCGTATTGATTATTGGAATGTAGATTTGTAAAACATATGGAGAAAACAAAAATAAAAAAACTAGAAAAGAAGATAAAAGATGGATATAACATTGCACCATATATCTATGAAAAGTTTATTTAAAAAAGAAAATTAGAATAATTTTAGGAATATATTTTAAATGTGAATACTCTACTTCAAACAGGTGTTAATGCAGTGAGCACCAGGTTTATAAATATTCATACTTTAAGTGCAGGAAGCGGTGGAAATTGTTGAATAAATTTATAAACAAAGTCTTGGAAGAGATACACCTAGCTACTTTCAATTAAATAAAAATACTAAATTGAAAGGTGGATAAAGAAATCATGAGATACACCTAGCTACTTTCAATTAAATGAAAATACTAAATTGAAAGGTGGATAAAGAAATCATGAGATACACCTAGCTACTTTCAATTAAATAAAAATACTAAATTGAAAGGTGGATAAAGAAATCATCAGCTTTTGCCACAAACTCAAATTTCCCAACCCCTGTCTCTTTGCAACCCAATATCGTAGACCTTTGTTATTCCAATCTATGAATTATGTCCAGGATTGAAATTGAAATATCAAAATCAGGAATATCAGGATGCAATGATGTAGGGACTAGAAAAGTAAAAAACTCAGATTTTTAAAACCTTTAGATTTGAGTTTAAACTAAACCATGATCGATAGGAAACCCTAATTCTTTGCCTTTATTTAAAAAGTGTCATTTAATGATTAAAAGCCAGTCGTCAAAAAAATATCTTTGAATTGCTTTTTAACGATTTCTATTGTAATTTTTCTATCTGGAAAAATATTTGATTCTAACAATATTTTATTTTTCTCCATGTGCTGCATAAAGACGCGATTCGCGATTCGCGAAACAATTTTATGATAATGATCAAAAATAGCATTTTTACTCATAATACGATTTTAAGGGTACTGTAGCAGCCCTTTAAATAAAAAGTGAAATTATTTAAGCATTCATATATATAAAAATTATAAATTGGTTAAACCAAGGTTTCAAATCAAAGAGAATAGAATATGTATTAGAGTGGAATTTAGACAATCTCTCGATATGAATTTTGTCAGTCCCTTTCAGCCTGAAAGGGAGTTCAAAGTGTACAAATTATGTAAATGTTCACAAATTAATATGCAGTAGAGTACATTAATACAGTATGTTCCCTAGACTATCCATTTCAATATCAAATTTTTTAAAATTGTTAAGTAAACTTTATAAAATGAATTAGGTGAATAAAAAACATTATTTGATTTATAGTTATAACGGAAAATCATCGTTTGTAAAGTGAAAGGCATAGAGTCTTTGTGAAATGATCATATGGTCAATTATGAAACCAGCCTATTTCATAATTTGGTTTTCTTTTAATATTAATTTTAGATTCTCTATAAAATGATTTTCAAGGGCCCAAAAGGTTATATAGCACAAATATGTGAAGTACACCTGCAGTATGGAAACAGTACAACAAAATGGCCATTTTACACTTTTTTCTAGTAAATTCTACTCAAATATATATTTTATTCTCTTTGTTTCAAATATATCCTATATTTTAAAATATACCTGATATCCTGAATATTTCATTTTCTAAACTTTCAATGTTAAATATTCATAAATATTCATATTTATTCTAAATAGAGGAAACTTAAGAACACAATTAGATAAGCAGGAATCAATATACTTTAGAATTTTTGGTTTAAAGGTTCAGCAGTATAACTGTTAATCTTGGACCAACATTCCTCTCAGGGGCTCTAGCTGCTAACTCGGAACAACATCTACATGAGCCTAGCTGCCCACTCGTACAGGTACACTTGCTTTACATTTGCAGTACACTTGCATTACCTTACTGTGTTTTTGCAGTAAACATGCAGTAAAACTTGCTATACACTTGCAGTACAATTGCAGTACAATTGCAGTACACTTGCAGTACACTTGCAGTACATTTGCAGTACACTTGCAGTACACTTGCAGTACACTTGTGTACACTTGCAGTGCACTTGCAGTACACTTGCAGTACACTCGCAGTACACTTGCAGTACACTTGCAGTACACGTGCAGTATATTTTCAGTTAACTGGAGTTAACTTGCAATAAAATAATAATATAGTTTCATAAACTACACTGCACTACACTACACTACACTACACTACACTACACTACACTACACTACACTACACTACACTACACTACACTACACTATACTAAACTACACGTGTAGTTCAGTATAGTACACCATAGTGCACTTGCAGTACACAACACATTGCAATTTCTAAAGTGCTGTATTATTAATTAGGGCCCCTACAGGCATTATATTCTGAACCTTCTCTGGATATCGATAAATTTACTCTGTATGGTTCTAACTATGTATCATCTGCATAAGCTCTACAGGTATTTTAGAACAAACTCTGTATAAAAAAACAAGTCCATCGTATATATGTTCCCTATAGCCGTCCAAAAGGCTGAACTGAATGGGCTGAGTTTTTTTGAGGGAACCCAGGGGTATCCCAGGCCGCAGAAGTAACATAGGCTAAAAAATAGTTTTAAAATATATGTATTTTTTTATTTCACGGGCAACACCAGGCACTGCAGCTAGTATAAGATAAATTTTATATTAACCCTATAAAAAGGCTGGGGTATCTGAATCTATGCATAGCCAGGGGGCGTCCTATGCACCCCCTCCTAGAAAAGGGCCTTAGAGTTAAGATTTATGGTTTAAATGTATGTTCATGGCCCAATTTTTCAAGGCCTGCTCATTAAAAAAAATTAGACAGCTAACTTTGATATGTAGTTTGGGTGCTAGAAAGGTTAAAAAAACCTTTACAAAAAAATGTGAGCTATAATTTTACATTTTTTTAAACGGACCGGACCTTTTACCGCCCAGTCTCATACCCTATGCATTCAAAAAAGAAATTCACAAAATATCCATTAAATTACTTTTCCTAAAAAGATGATATTGTCAAAAATGAGAGTGCTAGGGCAAAAAAAGGGAGGAGGGGGGAGGGAGTCAAACGCTCTCCCGGCCCATCTGTTAAGGGTTAATTATCGTCTCAGAATTTACTGTGCATTGCTAAATATATATAAAGAAATTAAGTCTTTTTTTCCCCAAACTCAAACACATGGTTATCCTGGGGTAACACGGGCTAAAGAAAAAAAAGAAAAAAAATCATTACCATTGTTTTTTCTTCAAAATTAAAATTTTAAATTTTTAAATTTTTTTAAATTCAAATATTATCAAAATGCCTATCTTATTCTACCTTACTCTAATTTATTAGATTAAATTATCTTCAATTCCTCTATTATTCCAAAGTTGTATGAATATTATCTATAAGTTAAAACTTGGCAAGAAAGTTATAAAATGATTAGAACTTTCATTGTTTCAACCTTTGTGTCCTGAGTGTTAAATACCATCCCTCCCATGCAGTAATTAGTGTCCTGAGTGTTAATTACTATCCCTCCGATGAATTAATTAGTGTCCTAAGTGTTAATAACCATCCCTCCAATGGAGTAATTAGTGTCCTGAGCGTTAAATACCATCCCTCCGACTGATTAAATAGTGTCCTAAGTGTTAATTACCATCCCTCCGCTGAAGTAATTAGTGTCCTAAGTGTTAATTACAATCCCTCCGATAAAGTAATTAGTGTCCTGAGTGTTAATTACAATCCCTCCGATTAAGTAGTCAGTGGCCTGAGTGTTAATTACCATCCCTCCGATGGAGTAATTAGTGTCCTGAGTGTTAATTACCATCACTCCAATGAAGTAATTAGTGACCTAATTGTTAAATACCATCACTCCGATGAATTAATTAGTGTCCTGATTGTTAAAAACCATCCCTCCGATGAAGTAATTAGTGTCCTGAGTGTTAATCACCATCCCTCCATGGAGTAATTAGTGCCCTGATTGTTAATTACCATCACTCCGAAGTAGTAATAAGTGTCCTGAGTGTTAATTACCATCCCTCCATGGAGTAATTAGTGTCCTGATTGTTAATTACCATCACTCCGATGAAGTAATTAGTGTCCTGAGTGTTAATTACCATCCCTCCATGGAGTAATTAGTGCCCTGATTGTTAAATACCATCCCTCCAGTAGAGTAATTAGTATTAAATCCCAATTGTGCATTTCCTCCGCTGAAAACGGTTTCCCTCCGGTGGCCTCGACTCCAGCGCAGGGGACCCAATACGCTGCTGAAAACTTCAATCTCTCCAGATGAAGAGCCATTTGAAAAGGAATTGAGTCTTTGCCAAAAACTGAAATTTTCTAATCCAAATGTCTATGCAACCTGAACGTGTAAACTTTATATTTCAAACTTTGACTTTTTGATCTAACATAACTTAAAGTTTGAAACATCTAAGAAAATAAGAGTTTGTTGCCAAGAAGACTTAGGTCCTACTCCACTGCCTGCACGAATAATAAAAAAAACTGTAATTGGAATAAAGGTTGTCTGCAGCAAGGTGACTTTTAAACCATGACTGAGCATATTTATCATTGAAAAGCTTATTTCTAAATTTATTTGTCTCTAGCTGGGTCTTGGTTCCCTTGAGGGATGGTCTCCTTGAGCTTTTGTCAAAGCAAAAATATTTCTTTTTATTTGGAAATTGATTATCTACTTCGATTTCCTTCAAATTGACTTACGGTTTTAAGCTACAAAGAGAAGGAGGGAAGTTGAGAAAATGACAATAATTTCTCATTTTTTAACTAATGAAGGGCTCACGGGTAAATCGCTTAAAATTAAGTCACCTGTTATTTAAAGTATTCCTAATTTAGAGACTTTACTCGATGCAATGTTGAAACGGTTAAGATAGCTAGCCTTTTAACTTCGATGATCAACATACAAACGGTAAATTGTTTTTTATTTTTTATTTTTAACACTTTTCCTGTTTTTGTACTTTCCCTGTTTTCCTTTGACTGTTTATTTTATACTTCAAGATATTTTTGTTATTTTCATTCTTAATTTAGTTCAGAGCTGTTTTTATTTGTTGTTTTATTGTTTACATTTTCTTTTTTTTTAGTATTTCCTTTAATTTGTTATTTTTAGTTTTATTTGTTTAATCTTAGTTGTTTTTTTGTAATTCTGGCATGAGAACTTTGTAGATAAAAATATTGTTTTCTTCTTTTATTTTTTGTTCTCATCCTATTTTTTATTTATTTAAAAATATACACAAAGTCTAGAGTTTCTCATAAAGGAATTAAGTTTTTACCACAAACTTAAATTTTATGCTCCCTATATCTTCGCAACCTGATGGTAAAAACCTGTTAGTGCAAACCTTTGATTATTTGATTAAACAGAAATCATAGTTTGAAATATCTCAGCTGCAGTACAACATTGGATTGCTAAGATAAAGGAATTAGAAAATCGGAGTTTGTGACAACGGCTAAATTCCTTTGACCAATTATTATTATTAGTAGTATTATTGTTATTATTATTATTATAATATATATTATTCCGGCTAAGGGATTATTTATTGCAATAAACTGAATAATAAGGTGCACCGTCCACTGCGTTACATTTCATATTATAATGTGCAGTTTTATATATCATGAGTAGTTTATTGTAAACAATTTACATGAAAGAGATAATCTTTTTTCTTTGTTTTCCAATTTTCCTAGGTTTTCAATATCTTCTTTCTTCTCATACTTATTGAGAGGCCGAAAATTTTGTATCTTAAATCCATGGGTTCAGCACTTGCTCAGTTTTAATCCGGCCCCCTCGACGATGTTTTCCTGGACGATGAAAACCTCATTAGACAATGTCTTGATTATCTCTTTGTGAATTTTTAGTTTATTCACAGATATAAACTTAAATTGTCTGATTTAAAAGTTTACACGATAGATATTTTAGGTTTTGTTCACAATTTCAGCATTGCCACATGTAATATACAGGGTTTCTCGCGCAACATGACAGTGAAGATAAAGAACTTAAATATCGTCTTAGATTTTCCTAATCATTCGCGGCATTTATTTGTCAGCTTACTTTTCTTTGTTTGATTTTAAAACTTCCCTAGTCCTGGTATTTCCAAAATGTGGTCTGCCTTTTTTGTGATTACAGGGGATATTACGAATTTTGTTCAGATTTCAATTTGTTAAATAAAAATCAAATTTGTCGAATTCTGTACGAAATTCTTAATATCTCCAGTAAATTGAATTTTTGAAGATTTTTATTTTTAGAATTCAAATTCTGATCCTCCAATTCGTCTGAAGGGTTATCTAGAGAACATAGAAAGAGAAGGATTACACAGAGTTAAAGTAAGTAAAAAAAAATAAGCGGTTAGGGCGCTTCGCGCTCCACTTTCCACTTTTTCGTGAGTGTACATACATTTCTGTTTTTAAGGCTGAAAGTCCATATATCATCTATATATAAAGCCCCTCCCCCCCAAAGAAAAAAATCTTGCTAGGATATGTGTGGGGGGGGGGGTATATGAATTTGAATGGTCAGAAGATATAAAAGTATAATTTTCAAGGAAAAATATTTCTTTCACTAGCAGGTTACATAATGCCAAGTAACAAGATTATCTTTAAGTTAAGAACCAATCTAAACTTTAAAGCAAAATCCTCTCACCTTATTTCAAATAGTTGAAAGCTTAGTTAGATTTTTAAATAAACTTTAAAGGGACTGTACAAATAATTTCAAACGCCTTTCATTCAAGAATGGGCATATCTGATTTATAACGGTACCCTTTAATATATCGTTGTTATTTTAGCTTGTAAATTTTCTCTTATTTTTTCAGAAGTACAAATGCGCAAGTCACTTTGTAAAACAAAGCTCTTTCAGGAACTGTCAGCCTAATTTTAAGAGAGGCATTACCGATTCACTCCGGTACCCTTTCAACTTTTAACTGATTAAGGATGAGAGACATGTACCGTATTGGTTATGTTACTAGAAGATGGGAGAAAATAAAATATTACTTCCAAATTTTTGAAAACCGTTTTTAACCATTAAAAACTAGATATTTTTAACGGATCAGATGTGTTGAGTACCAATTCTATAATAACGCAGAGTACACTTGGTTTTAAAACACTTCACCAACTAATTAAAAGATTTCTAAAAAGAGCTTTCTTCATTCGATTAGCAATCAAAGGTTTAAAAAGGTTTAAAGGGTACCGTTTAAAATCGGACACACATTTGCATGGAGGGTCACTTGAAATTACGCTTGCGTTCCTTTTCAGGCTAATTAAACCAGATACACCACTCTATAAATGGAGGGTCAATTGAACTTACGCTTACCTACCTTTTCAGGCTAACTAAACCGGATACACCACTCTATAAATGGAGGGTCATTTAAAATTAAGTTTACAGTCCCTTTAAATATTAGAAAAAAACTTTAGTTTCTTGATTCTGTTTATTTTAACCTGTTACAAAGGATTGGGTTTTATCTTTTATCTCAAATATTTAAACAATTCCCGGACGAAAATAAAATAACTAACAAAAGAAATAATATATATCTATTGTATGAGAAAAATAGGAGGATTCTTTATAAAGATAAAGGAACATAAATAATAAAGCCAGAATTTATTTCAAAACGTCGAAAATATCCCTCCCCCTATTCATGATTCCCCCCCCCTACTCCATGATATCCCCCCCCCCTCCGACTCCAAGTACAATTGATGATTTCTTTAAAAATTATTATAAAATCAATTTGTCTAATTCAACTTCTAATATTTTTTAGAAATCAGTAAATTCGATATTTTTTGAATAATTCAAATTTTTGAATAATTGTATATTGTTACAATTTTACTAGACACTTATCAAGTCACTCATGAAGTGAAATAGGACTGTTTCATCTGCACAATTGCTGTTTCTCATGCTCATTACACTTTTTAAAGCTATAACTTGTTTCTGAAAATCGTCTTTCTTTTTCAGAAATTTTCTGGTTATCACTGTAAATAGCTTGATTTTGCAATGAACACGTTTTATGTTACTACAACTGAAATCTAAAAAATAAAAAATAAGATTATTTAATTTAGATCTTCTCAATAATAACTGGAGCATATCTATTATTCTGGGGACCCTTGTTTCTAGTTACTCTATTACACCCTGGTTGGGAATGGAAGGATGCTAAAAAATCTATGCTTCATGAGGTAAATATAGAAAACTAGCTGAGGCACCCGCCGTTGCCCGTGTAATTTTTTTAAATTGAATTTTGAAAAAAATTATCATTGAAAAAGAATAAAATTTAAATTTGTTTAGCCTATGTTACCCATGGGGTACTCCTGGGTTCCCTAAAATAATGTCTGACCATTCGGTCCAGTCGTTTGGCCAGTTATAACTAACATATATTCATACAAATATATATGAGCGAAGAGCTTTATTAAATAGAATAAAACAAATAATAGATAAAAAACATTCCAATATAATAATAAGCACAAAGTATCAAGAAATTGAATCTTAGCCACAAACCTAAAGTTTGTCTTCATTATATCTTTGCAATCTAATGGTTTAAATCTTTGATATTTTAAACTAAGAATATTTAAAATAACAAAATTCATAGTTTGAAATGTCTTGGTCTACGACATTTGGTTTCAAATACATAAGGATTAGAAAATCAGAGTTTGTGTCAAATCCCCACACTCTCCACTCCACTAAACCCTACTATTTGGTTTCAAATACATAAGGATTATAAAATCAGAGTTTGTGTCAAATCCCCACACTCTCCACTCCACTAAACCCTACTATTTGGTTTCAAATACGTAAGGATTAGAAAATCAGAGTTTGTGTCAAATCCCCACACTCTCCACTCAACCCTACTATGTCTTCGGTCAGAGTACTGCAAATCACTGCAGTACATACTGAAAGCATAGTTGAGGGTGCCTAATTCTCTGACTCCGAGGTCCCTAAAATATGTTATAATCAGCTATTTTTCCTAATTTAGGTGTTTACTTAAATTATGACTGTAATGGTTAAATGAAAGGGGTATGGGCTGCAGCCTAAAAGATTTTAGAAGTTGATCGCGACTATTATTAGTTCTATCTGTTGTCACTAGAAATTGCAGATATAAAACGGTGTCAGAGTTATATATTTTAGATATAACTAATATTGGTAGCGAATTTAGGGTTTGCAGCGAAAAGGAAAAATCGTTTCTCAAAATTTCATTTCATCCCATTTCGCGAAAAATGCGAAATTTTCGAAAAATAAGAAATGCGAAAATTTCGCGAAAAAAATGCGAAAATTTTGCGACAAAATTCGGAGTTTAAAAAAACATGCAAAATTAATCAAAAAAAATCATCAAAGTACAGCTCCAACACCTATGATTTTTGCGAAATTTCGCTTAGTTTTCCCATTTTTCGCTTTTTTCATTTTCGCGAAAAAATGCGAAATTTCGCGAAAAAGTTATCGAAATACGAACGAAAAAGTTCGCATTTTTTCGCGAAACGTTTTGTTCGCTGCAAACCCTAGACGTGATCAACTCCTAACATTTTTTGGGCTTCAAATTAATGCAAGTTTAGATAAAGGGCAATGTCATCCAAAAGTTCCAAACGATGAACAAATAAAAGTGTCATGAGTAAAAAATGTTAAGTAATTATAAAAATCAATATTAAATTTATTATTATGTTTTTTGTCAGGTTTCATTACACGTTTCATTTGTTCATTCATTTGTGAATCCTCTCCTGTTTCTGGTTCTCCATAAATCCGCCAGAAATGCTGCTCTAGATATATTCTGCTGTTTCTGCTCAAGAAGTACAGGTAAATGTTATAAATTCTCAATGAATGCTGTTTTTAACGTTTTTTAGAAGTTACATAGGGTAACATCTATTTATAAATCCACGTGCTGAGGCTTCTGTTTTTAATACTGTTTCTGTTCGAAAAGTATTTACAATGTAAAAAAAAACATCTTGCTCACCTAACAGAAACTATTTTGAGATTATTAACATTAATCTAAATTTTGAACAGATTGTTCGTAAATTTGAAATACTTTTGTTACTTTGATATAAGGAACAAAATGTTCATTTTTTTAATGATTCTGAAACAAACTTTGATAAATAAGCAGTAATCTCTGTCGCATCAATATAGCATATATAACGTAGTAATCTCTGTCTGTTTGTTTGTAAGTTTGATCATTACTCAAAATCCTATTAACTACTTTGTCTCTAATTTTGATTGGTTTTATCCTGGTTAGCAGATTCTAAATGAAGTGGGTTGCATATTTAAAACTTAGTTTCCAGGCAAAAGTCTTCAGTTCCTAATCTACTATAGATACTTTTGTCAACTGTGTATTTATCAAATGTATATATCTGAAATTAAAGTGGTGCAAAAAGTATGACATTTTTTTCTGTGTAGGATATTAAATAGATTAAAATGGCGGGTTTTTAAAACGTCTCTGCTTTTGTTTTCAAGTGTTGATAAGGTTTAAAGGTACTTGTAAATTTTATTAAACTCCAGCAAACTAATTTCATAAAAGTTCACATAAAATGCAAGACTCATAGAATTGGAAAAATACTTTTTAATTCTTACAGTGATTGTCAGGAAATAATTTTTGAAATGCACTTTGCATTGTACTCATTTCGACGCATAACAAATTGTTTAAATAACTATAGAACTCTCCGTACTTGAATTTGGCTCCGGCGGTGCTTAAATAGTCGTTTTTGAAATAAATAAATTAACGGTTTGTATTTTGAAATAATTTGTCCCTCTCTTATTTATTTAATTTATAGAACTTTATGCATTATGATGTTTTTAATACGTGCTTTGATGTCTTTGAACCTTTGTCTTTCAATTTGTTTAGTTATTTTTACATAAAATAATCCTTGAAGGCACATTTAACGATTTCAAAAAACATCTGCCGCTAACACTGTTAATCAAATTGAAAATTGTTAATAAATTGTAACTCCGTTTTAGCTAAAAAACTAACGGCTACCTAGATTTTTTTTATTTTTATAATTTTAGCTAACCATTAACAAACAGCTAGATAAAAAACGAAGGTGCCCCCTTACCTCTCCCCACTTTAGAAAATTATTAGATAGCCCTTGTTTGCTTGGAGTGCAATATTTTTAATATAAATTTTATTCGTTAAAACTTAAATTAAGGGAAAAAATGATTTATTGCGGAAAATAATACAGTTTTTGGGTAAACAGTATTAATCAGAATGTAAAAACTTGCCTTTAGATTTCCATTGTAACAAGGGGGGGGGGTATTTTTTTAAATCCTATACCCCCTGAAAATTCTTAACTATCCTTGTCCTTCAGGGGGGAGTCGACGAGCGCAGCAGAATCCGTTCTCCTCCTCGGAGGTAGAAACAGAACTAGGAGATGATGATGTTCAGGGGCGGAGGAGTAATGGTAATTTCATGTAGGTAAAATACACACACACATCAAATATTATAGGTTTTCAGGGGCTCTCGTTGGAGTTTTACATGACCCTTCATTTGAAGACTAGTAAGACAGATTCACAACGGAACCATCTAATAAAGACCTTCTAAAAATGTGAAATATATTATATTTTCCTAGAATGTAAAGTGTTTAATTTTGAAAAATTTCCTCCAATCTAAAATTAAACAAATTTTCAAAGAGAAAAGCATAAATATTTTTGTAGTTCTTAATTGTACAAAGCTGTTTAAAGCACCGTTGTGAATCAGACAGGGTTTTACTAACCTTAGATGAATTGGTTCAATTGTAAATGCGTCTATTAGCATACATAGGTTTACAGTTTGATATTGTAGGTTTACTGGTTCAAATTATAGGTTTACAGTTTGATATTGTAGGTTTACAGGTCCATATTATAGGTTTAGGTTCATATTATAGGTTTACAGTTTGATATTGTAGGTTTACAGGTTCAAATTATAGGGTTACAGTTTGATATTGTAGGTTTACAGGTTCAAATGATAGGTTTACAGTTTGATATAGTAGGTTTATAGGTTCAAATATTAGGTTTACAGTTTAATATTTTAGGTTTACAGGTTCATATTATAGGTTTACAGTTTGATATTGTAGGTATACAGGTTCAAATTATAGGTTTACAGTTTGATATTGTAGGTTTACAGGTTCATATTATAGGTTTACAGTTTGATATAGTAGGTTTACAGGTTCAAATATTAGGTTTACAGTTAAATATTCTAGGGTTACATGTTCAAATCATAGGTTTTAAATATTATAGGTTTAATATTAAAGGTTTTAATATTATAGGTTAACGCGTTCAACGTTATTGGTTTGATATTATAGGTTTTAAATATTATAGGTTTAATATTATAGGTTTAATATTATAGGTTTTAATATTATAGGTTAACGTGTTCAACGTTATTGGTTTGATATTATAGGTTTTAAACTCTTCAAAAGAGAAATGTATAAATATACTGCATACTATACTATGTATAAATATACTGCATACTATACTATGTATAAATATACTGCATACTATACTATGTATAAATATACTGCATACTATACTATGTATAAATATACTGCATACTATACTATGTATAAATATACTGCATACTATACTATGTATAAATATACTGCATACTATTGGGATGAGAAATATGAATTATTGATAACCAAAAGAAAATGAGGTCTTATTGACCAGTTTTTAAAAAAGAATTCAGAATTTGAATTTTAGAAATGAATCAATTTATTAATAATGATGACCTATATTTCCAAAGCTCGGTCCTTAAATTTTCCCTATGCTTCCGGGTCAAAAGACAAAATAAGGGAATCAAGGGGAAAAATAATCTATTGAATTTGCAATTTCCAACAAAAGTACATACAATAACAAAGTATTGGTATCTACTGTAGTACATGCCATAAGCACCAAGAAAAATCATTTACAATAAGATCCCATGATCAAGAAAATGAATATTAAATATGTAGGAAATGCCCTACTCCATAAAGGTTTCTCACACATGTATCTATCCAGGTACAACTCAGTTTCACTATCACTATCAATGTCAAAGCCCAGACACGATCTCATAAACTATCAATTCCAAACCAATGGGAACAATCTCATCAGCTATCAATGTCAACATGGACACAAGCTTGTTAACTATCAATGCAAAATTAATGAGTACAATCTCGTCAGCTATCAATGTCAACACGGACACAATCTAGTAAACTATCAATGCCACACCAATGGGCACAATCTCATCACCTCTTTCGTTTAACAAGGAACGATTACTCTCTAACCGTAATCAAAGCAGAGTTTTTACCAACTGAGTATATTTAGTTTCTAGATTAAAGATAAAGTTTAACAGACATAATTACAAGTTTTGCGTCGTTATACATAACATAGTTAAGCTAGTCACAATATGGGTTTGATGGAGTTATATATATGGATCTAGGTTAGGTTAATTGCAATACATGATTTGCGTATTTTCTAATGAGCGCATTTAGCTCTACAGACAATGTACAACATAATTTAATATGGGCTGCTATATTTGCTAAAAATGGGGAGGGGGAAAGAATGTTGAAAAATAGGGCTATCTATCCCTTATTTTCTACAATTCAGCCACTCCACATCTTTTCTTGTTTTGCTTCCATTCTGATTTCTCTGCTGCAAACAGAGAATGTATGAACTTTTTTATATCAAACAGGCCAGGTTTCATCACTGGGGACTGGGTGACAGGAATTTGTACACCTTTCTCTTTAATGCAGTTGCATTGCCCTAATATGCAATTGTCTTCGTAAATACAAGTCATCCAGGTCATCCTCTAGTTCTTCATAGGATACAATTGGGATAACTTGTTGACTCCTTTTAAACCCTTCCCAGTGTCACCAGTTTGATTCTCCATGTTGCTGACTTCTCTTCGAAAAACACAAACCTACTACTTCATTCAGCTTCTGTTTTCTCCAGTTCTGCCACTCTTTTGCCTCCTTTATTTCCATTGACTACTCCTTTATTACTCCATCTCTCTTGGAAGTTTCGCGGATAATGTCTGCTTTTCCACAATTGAAACTGGAAAAATTTCATTTCTCCTATTATTACTACAGGGTGTCCCAAAAAACATGGGAATTCAGTGACGAATTCGAAGTCGGCTTTGTATAAGATTTATGATTTAGTATAGCGATTCCTACTTATATGAAAGCTGTCATCCCGGTGAATTTTTCGTCTGCTAAAGTTTAAATATTGTTGTTTGTTTATGTTTTGGTTCAATACGAGTGTACTAAATAAAATTAGAAGATTTCTAGTAAAAATAAAGTACACTGTTCATACTGCAGAAATGAAAAAAAATAATTATTGCAGAATATATGTGTACAATCAAACAGAAGACCCTGTTACGAGGTTTACTTGTCTATAAAAGACAAGTTAATCCAGGAGATATTTTAAGTGTTAACTTGACCAATTCTGGATGTTGGAAAACCCCAGTCGATACAGCATTGCTGTCAAAGATTTGTTTAACCGAATGGTAAGCATGTCAATCTATGCATTTCCTTAATTTCTCTTTCTTTATTCCGCCATATTTTCGTTATTTCTTCAACCAAATTCCTCGTTTTTTCATTTTCTTTTCATTAACTTTAATTCTAGTTCCGTTCTTTCATTAAAGAGACTGTGGTGGGGCTTTTAAGTGACCTTTTATTTAAAAAGAGTGGCATACACAATACATAACCAGTACTCTTTAATTCTTATTGAACAAGGTTTTTAAGGGTACTATTGTTCATTGTGAATCGGAAATGCCACTTTATAAATGGAGACAATTACTTGACAATTACTCAAACCCCTTAAATATTTCTTTTTGTATTCTTAACAATTCTTACTTCTTTTCCATTTCTTCAATTTCACACTGCAATTTTCATATTAGATTGGATGAATAGTGTCTCCTTATTTTCTAAAACTTATAAAATATGGTTTCTTCAATTGATCCGTTGTTTGCAGCCTTCAGCTGAGGAATGCACTCCTCCTTAACCAATTCTTGGTACATCTGAGAATTCATATTTCCGTGTATAAATTTTAAACCAAAGAGTCTTCCCTTACAGGTGCCGGCAAACACCATCAACTGAAAAAAATAATAATTATTCATTCTGAAGAAAAATACAAAGACCAAAGATACTGATACCTGGAGTAAGGTTGGGTTTAATTGATACTGGGACCTGGAGTAAGGTTGGGTTTAATTGATACTGGAACCTGGAGTAAGGTTGGGTTTAATTGATACTGGAACCTGGAGTAAGGTTGGGTTTAATTTTACCTTCTCTGCATGTTTCTCCTTCATGTGGATTAAGTTTCCATCAAGACCAGCTCTGCTTTCACCCCCTTTCTTTTTGGATCCAATGTACCGTGTACAGTTACGTGAATTAACCTCTCCATCTGCAAAACGAAAAATTTTTTCAATTAATTAAACTCATTTTTTTTATAAAACTTACGTAGTTTTTTATTTAAACATCCATTTTAAGTTTTAGTGTGAACAAATTCTTTTATTTGCATCTATTTGAAAAAAACAACAGTAATATTAAGTTCATTCTGCTTGGCACATCAAATTTATAATTCTTACCCAAGTAAAAGTTAGCTTCGTCAGTGAAAGGGATATTGATGAGTTCTTCATCTGAGAGCGTCACCAGCCACTCGCACATCTCAAACCTTTTATCCCTCTCCCCCTGTGATAGACGAAGCTGTTTTGCTGTAATCAATCTAAAAAAAATACAAGTTAAAGAATGTCCATATGTATATAATGAGAATGGCAGCGGAATCAAATAGTCATTTTTAGTGATGAAGTTTAAAACATGCCATTTTCTAGATTTCAGTTACACCTAGTTTACCAACTGACTGACTAAGGGTCAACTTGCCCCCCCCTCTTTTTCTTATTTTGATAAGAAACTATTTACTTATTGTCTCTGAAGTAGAAATTCAAAACTCACTTAATAGAAAAACTATAATTAAAACTAATCAATTTTGTAGCCTACTAATGAGGATATCTCATTCATCATTAAGCAGACAAAGTTTAAAAGGGCTTAAGGCAAAATTTCCAGTGAAATTAAATTTTTACAGTGGCGTTTCCGATTCACAACAGTACTCTTGTTCAGTGTTCATAGTTTTCGTGTTAAGACACAGAATAATAATACAGCATTTTATTAAAGTTTACGTAAAATATGCTCTAGCAGACAAAATTACATAATATGTCTTTACATCAGGTATTACAATACTAATCCTTAAAAAAGACGACATCGAATTCGTCACTGAATTCCCATGTTTTTTTGGGACACCCTGTATTTTACCTGCTTGGATTCTTCTTGTTCAATTCTTTAAGCTTCCTACAATCTTTCTCCAGATTACCGCTCACTTTGCGGAAGACTGTATTGCATTGACATCTTCATGACTTTCCTCTCTAACTGATTCATCTGATACTAAACCAGGCATTGCATGCATACCTACATATGAACTTGCCCAGTATTCCATATTTTATCTGTAGCCAAATCATGTGAAGTAGCCCTGGGGTCTGTGTTGATTGTTATCAGGTTAACCAGCTGATGATTCAGTACTGCCTTGATCTGACTCTCATTTTGCAGTACTTAAGGCATAAACTGTAGACATGTTCTCCGCTGTTCACAATGGCACAACCCCAAAACCATTGCATTCATGAACTCTGACAATGTTCTCTTAGCTAGTGCGTATTTTCCTATGTCTTCACATATGATTCTTTTTCTTTTTTTTTCTTTACTTCTACATCTTTTTGCACTGCTCCAACTACTCCCTGTAAAGCTCGTTTTCCCAACTCCATTTGCTCCAACCTCTGCATTATGATCTGAAATTCTGAGAGTGGAGGGTCTCCCCCTCCTCCGGCTTCTGTCATGCTTAGTTCTATCTCTGAACCGTCCTTACTAGGTAGCCTAGGGTACAATTAGCGATGTTAAAGTTTTCATTTTTATAAAAAACGATAGTTTCGTTATGAAAACGACGTTGAAAAATTGAAATTGGTCACAAATCGTTTTTAAAAAACGATAGTTTTTTAAAATGAACCATTGAAAAACAAAACAAAACGATTGTTTAACGATTGTTTTCAAAAACAACCCCAGGTACAATGATTCAACAGTGTTTAGTGTCCTCTTCTAAAATATCTCCTTGTCTTGTTTCTTTCAGTACTCCAGTAAACCAGGTACTAACTAGTTTTGTCTTCCTTGAAGTTCCAGGCATTTAACTAGGGTTTCTTGATTCTCACAGCTGCTTCCACTTTTGTAGTAAATGCCCTACTCCATAAGGGTTTCTTACAACAATATCTATCCAGGTACAAATCAGTTTCACTTTCTATTTCCAGCCAGGGAGCAATAGCTATGAACTGCACATTTTTACTTTTCTTTACTAGGAGTGTTGCTATTCAACCAAAGATAATCAAGTGACCCGCTCAGAAGTAATTATGTTGTAGGATTTAACAGAGAAATGTCCTCGAGTCTCATTTTGCTGCTTGTGAGAATGTTAGATGGTAGGTAGAGGAGATTTATAGATGAGGATAAGGGTTTGTAGGAGTGGCGTATTGTGAATGTTTCGTTAAAATGGAAACTATAATTGAAACCAACTCTGCATGATTAGCATTGATGATAAATACATCTTTCAATTTTTTAAATCAGATTTTCAATAATAGTTTTCTGTTTTCAGGAAGAGTTTGAGATATGGAGGCAGCAAACAAGAAACTGAATTATGAATAATTATCTAGTTTAATTAATATTGGTCCCTAAAATGGGTCATATGGTCCTTAAAAATGGTGTTTATTTAAAATTTTGATACAAACATGATCCATCAATTTTAAAGAATTTAGGCATGCTTTGGTGTAATTTTGTGCTTTTTCGTATTGTTTTCAATTGGTGTAATTTTGTGTTTTTTTCGTATTGTTTTCAATTGAAATATCACAAAATGCGTTGTCGATATTTACTATTTTTAACTAATTTAACTCTTGCTGAGGCATGACTATTTGCTCCTTTAGATCTATGAAACTTTTTTACTTTATTCTAAATATTATACTTCGAAAACGACGGACAATAAAATGAATAACTAAAATCAAAAGAACTGATTTCGTGAAACAAGCTCATATTTTCTAATCTTTGAAACAAAATTTCGTAGATCTTTGATTTATCTAGCTATGTCTTCTGTTGTATTAAAAATGTAAGTTTGAAATTTTAAAGTTTTTTTTACCATCAGATATTTAAGGATTAGAAAAACTAAGTTTAAGTGGCAAAAACTTTGGTTTCTGTTTTGACGATATGTAAAATACTATGTATATATTTTTATATTTTTTGGAGCTTGGTAAAACACTGTTTAGAGATAACACGCATATCTTTTATAATTTGTCGTTTAAAACTATAAGTTCTATACGTATACTACATTAATCAAATTTTCATAATTTTGGAAATCAATAAAATGACATATTTTCCATCATGAATAAATTGATATATCTTGAACGACATATAGTTCAATCTTTAAAACAACTAATTAAATTTTAAGATAAAGCAAGAAGTTTTCCCCTGCACTTGGTTATGCTAAAACATTTAAAATCTACTTATTTTTTTTTATCCAGAAGAATTTAATTTCTCGATGATTATACATAAAAACCACAAAAAAAGGGTTCTGAATACCATCCATCACTAATGAACAATATAATATTTATTACATTATTACATTCTTTTTTGAATATCTTCTTTTTTTTACTTTCAAACGTTTTTTTAAAATCCCAATCCTCATATTTTTCAAATTAGAATCAATTATTTTATGATATTTTTACAACATTATTTCATTCCACATTAGGTTAAAAAGCATGCAATATATTTATTGTTTTTAATATTTTTGTAAAACTGAAGTTTGAAATAGCTAAAGAATACTTGTTTAAATGTGTCTGTTTAATGTTTTGTAAACCCATGAACTTGTGTTATAATTAAGGCTCAAACTAAACATAAATGATTAACGAAGTGTAAAAACTTTAATCCCCTCAGATGTACACATTTAAATAATGAACCCATCGTCAGTGAAATTAATTTCTCTATGCTAAACAGAATTATAAACTGTTAGTCAGAAAAATTAAATATTAAAAATATGTAGTTTTTACTTTAACACCCTTCACCCAAGCAGTAATAAAGAATACTATTGTAATGCATGCATGTTGTTATGTAATCACGTGTTTCTAAAATTTGGCGTACCATTGCTTCGGTAATGGTTGTATTTGTACAGGGAGCCACATAAAAACATGACAGTTAGGAGACCTAATTAAACCAGTTCTAGTCTTAAAACAGACATCATGGATTACCCTTTTTTATAACAGTATTTGGGCATTTACAAAATGGGGTCTTCGTTTAATTAGAGGATTTCAAAATTATTAGTGATTTAAATAAATATCTCTCTTTCAGATTTTTATTCATGAAATACAACATGAAATTTCGTTACATAACTTCTAAAGATACACAGGAGGTTCAACACACGTTGAAAAGCCCAAAAGTTGTCCCATCTTATTTAAATTTACAATATGTCAAATTCAAAGACGATTTTAAAATCGTCTCTAAGCTGCCATGTTCAGTGGGACACCTTGTATTTGAATCAGGTGCTAATGTGAATAATATATTATGCGCTGTAAACCAAATTAAATTTGTATCCTAAATGTAAAATTTAAGATGTATAAAGCTTAAAATGTCTCAAATATATGTTTCCTTTATTATAATTTGGACAAATAAATCATATTTGTGTGATGTAAATAGAATATTATTTAGAAGAAAGAAATTTAGAAACTTAGAAACATTATTTTGCATTAAAACATTCAGCTATATTCAGAAATTTAGAAAAAAATATGGATAAGATGTGGATAAAATGTAGATGAAATGTGGATAAAATGTGGATGAAATGTGAATAAAATGTGGATAACATGTGGATAAAATGTGGATAAATTGTGAATGAAATGTGAATAAAATGTGAATAAAATGTGGATAAAATGTGGTAAAATGTGGATAAAATGTGGATAAAATGTGGATAAAATGTGAATAAAATACGGATAAAATGCGGTTGAAATGCGGTTGAAATGTGGATAAAATGTTGATAAAATGTGGATAAAATGTGGATGGAATGTGGATAAAATGCGGTTGAAATGTGGATAAAATGTGGTTGAAATGTGGATGAAATGTGAATGAAATGTGGTTGAAATGTGGTTGAAATGTGGATAAAATATGGATAAAATGTGGATAAAATGTGGATGAAATGTGGATAAAATGTGGATAAAATGCGGTTGAAATGTGGATAAAATGCGGTTGAAATTGTGGATAAAATGTGGATAAAATGTCGATATATGTGGATGAAATGTGGATAAAATATGGATAAAATGTGGATAAAATGTGGATAAAATGTGGAAAAAATGCGGATAAAGTGGATAAAATGCGGTTGAAATGTGGATAAAATGAGGATGAAATGTGGATAAAATGTGGATAAAATGTGGGTAACATTTGAATAAATTGTAGATGAATTGTGGAAAAAAAACACCAAATCGGTGTGAAATTTGTATTGTAGGTTTTAATTTCAAATTAGCAACTTGTAGTTTGATGATTTGAAATTACTTCAATGTACAATAAGTTTCCACAAATGTTATGTCGTGTCAGCCCAAAACACAACTTTGGAATAGAAAACGACCCAGTACAATTGATTTGTGCTTCTTGTTCAAATAATTATTTTGAGTTAAAAAGTCGTCTTCCTATTTTACAGCTGCATGGGTCTCAATATAAAGTGTATAATTAGAAACTGCAAACTCGCTCCGGTTCAAATCCTGAACCACCAATTCAAAGTTAAAGATTCATGAGGATCTGATTCACTGAATCAGGATTTGAACTGGCGGTATATAGCTCAGCGGCCTCTTGAGTTCATTAAATTCCATCCCACGTCTAATATACCTTCGAAGAATTTAAAAAAAGAATCCTATTTAGTTCCACTCAGGGGGTTAATATGCTGTCTACCTGCCAGTCTAGTTAGCTGGACTGTACAGTTCTATTCAGGGGGCTAATATGTTGTCTACCTGCCAGTCTAGTTAGCTGGACTGTACAATTCTATTCAGGGGGCTAATATGTTGTCTACCTGACAGTCTAGTTAGCTGGACTGCACACTGGCCTTAACATAATCAAATATGCAGTACGCTCTTGGTGTAGTTCCTGGCCTATACATTAGTAAAGGGTTAGCGTACACTATATCACTTTATACACTATAATCTCGTTGGTTATATTACATGTTAACTAAAGACATTAATTCTCATGAAGGTTTTCCCTCAAGCCCTTATCTCTAATTAAAATGGGTCACGTGTATTTGATTAAGGAAAAATATCTAACTACCAAAACAAATTTGTTAGATTATGTTGTAGTCTCCTTTATAACATATAGAAAAATATCTAACTACTAAAACAAATTTGTTAGATTATGTTGTAGTCTCCTTCATAACAAATAGAAAACAAAATAATAGTTTAAAGATTTAGACTAATACAATATATAAGTTTTTTTGATACAAGGAAAACTGTTTAAAAATCAAAACAAATTTGTATGTGATGTTATAGGCTTCATTTGACTAAAAGATAACAAATATAATAACTTAAAATTTTAGATTATTTATTATAGTAATGAAAATTTAGGCGTTTAGAAATTTTTTGTACTTTTTAAAATGTAGATTTAGATTTTTTAAAAATTAATGAAAGGTTAATACAAGATTAAGGTTAAATTAAGACTTCTGCCTTAAATTTAGTCTTTGAAGGGAACGTATAATTATTTTGAAAAGAAGGAAACAGTTAAAAAGCTGAAGGGAATCATAAATATTATAAAACAGACAGTTTAAATTCCGTAGAGTCGTCTCTGCACTATAGTTTCAGTAGAAGTAAATATTTCCATTTAGCAAAATAGCGCCGATATAAGGATTTATCTCTAAATGTATAATGAGATAGACAGAAAGATAGATGTTACCGCCATATTATTTCTACTGGTTCAGAATAGACATCAAACACATGGCTGAACCCTGATTGGATCAGGCGCTAATGGACTCGGCATACAAGAGTGTCTGAAGTCTCATGCAGTATAGGTAACCCTGAACCTATTCAATAAAGCTGTAAATCGACCTTAATTGTATCAGATATAATTTGTAAAAACAAGTTATAAAATTAAATATTTAGGATCAGATTTAATGAATAGCGAGACATTTAAACTAGGTATACTAAGTTGAACCACTGCTCTTGTTCAACTATTTTTTACGACCCAAGAGGCATTATAAGGATTTAAGATAGATAGATAGAAAGTCGGACAGGTACACATGACATCTTCATGTACTTCTCGTTCATACATATGTTGAATATATTTCCAAACCAAATATTTTTAAATACCGAACTTTGACAAACCCTAGGTGTTGAGTGTGAAAAACTTAATATTAAGTATTTTTACATTTTTATAGCTGATAAGGCCGGGTTTTTAAGTGAGCCTATAACCCCATCTTTTTTCTGAACGCTCCCTTTCAGGTTGATTTTCCCATAAACTTCCCTTTGAATATAAAATAGATTTTACTTATTCTTTTTCTACTGTTAATATCCTAAATTTCCTGTTGCGGAAATACAGTTTTACCGCTAAATAGAAAGATATACAAAATACTTCCATACTTGGGTTTGGAACAGGCCGTCAGGCATAGTGAAGGTCCAGCGAGATAGGTTTGAGGTAAAGAAATTGAGTATTTGTTACAAACTCAATTGTTCTATTCCTTATATCTGTGCCACCTACTGGTAAAAACCTTTGATATTTTAAACTTTAATCTAACAGAATTGCTAAAAAGTGATTAGAAAATTTGAGTTTCTGGCAAAACTCAAGTCCTTTTCTGTGCAAACATTGCAATAAAAAAATATTTTTAAATCGTTCACACGATTTAATACTAAAGAAATTACTATAAACTGCCCCAGAAATTAAAAAAAAAATTGAAAAATCATTAAAAAACGAGTAAATATATTGCTCATTTTAACAATTTTTTAGTTCATTTGAACTTTTTCATTTGAACTATTAATATTTTAAATGAAATAAACAAAAAAAATTGTTCAAATGAACATTATTAAAATAGTTCAAATGGAAATAAAAATAGTTCAAATGAAGAAACAAATAGTTCAAATGAACACAAAAATAGTTTAAATGAACAAAAAAATAGTTTAAATGGACATAAAAATAGTTCAAAGGAATATAAAATGGTTCAAATGAAATAGTTTAAATGAAAAAATAGTTCAAACGAAATAGTTCAAATGAGAAAAAAATATTTCAAATGAAAATGACGAAAAAATAGTTAAAATGAACGAAAATAGTTCAAATGACAAAAAAATAGTTCAAATGAACACAAAAATAGTTCAAATGCTGTGGATCAGCTGAAGTAATTAGGGGAAAGAGCCTCGGGGGCCTGCAGGCCCCAGGGAGGAGGCAGACGCTGAACTCCAACCTTCTCTAGTGTGCGAGGTGGGGAAGACTTCACTGCCGCGCTTAATTAAAAGCATGATTAATTGGGGGATGACATTTGTAGATCAAGATTGAATCCTAGCCGCAGCGCTCGGCCCAGAAAGTCTCATAACTTAACATAACCTGTAGCCTGTCCCCTAGCCCAGTAAACCAGATCACATCGACTAAGCGTTGAAATGGTCTGCAAATGACGTCATATTTGATTAAAATGTCAACGTCCATATGATGTCAATGTGTAGTTGTCCATGGTCGAAAAATTTTGAAATTATTTTGACCAGATTCCATGTCGACTCCACGTGGAAAAAACGCCTAAATGGCGACCTTCTCGTCGTGCGACGATATCTGGTTTACTGGGCGCAGCGCTCGGCCCCCTATAGCCTGTTCTAGTCGCAGCGCTCGGCCCAGAAAGTTTCTTAACCTAACCTAACCCTAAATAAATACCAATTTAATCGAAAATTGTTGAAAAAGTGGTCATGTCAAAAAGTAAAATCTGCAGTGAAGTCTTCCCCACCTCGCACACTCGAAGGTTGGAGTTCAGCGTCTGCCGTGGGAGGAGACAGACAAAGGGGCCGGGTAAAATCACGTCGGGAGTAGGAGTAAATCACATTTGAACTATTTTTATGTTTTTTAACTATTTTATTTGAAATTAAATTTTTTTTATTTTTCATTTGAGCTATTTTTTTTCTCATTTGAACTATTTGTTTCTCAATTGAACTATTTTTTTGTTCATTTGAACTATTTGAACTATTTTTTTCATTTAAACTTAATTTTAAATTCATTCGAACTATTTTTTTTCATTTGAACTATTTCATTTGAACTATTTTTATGTTCATTTGAACTATTTTTTGTTCATTTGAACTATTTCAATTGAACTATTTTTTTAATGTTAACTATATTTTAAGTTCATTTCAACTTTTTTTTCAATTTGAACTATTTCATTTGAACTATTTTTATCTTCATTTGAACTATTTTTATGTTCATTTAAACTATTTTTTATGTTCATTTGATCTATTTTGTTTGTTAATTTAAACTATTTTTATGTTTATATATTTGAAACATTTCTGTGTAATTGTTTTGTCATAAACTAACTTTATGCGAATTATAAAAAAAATTTAAAAACTGAATTGCGGTAGAAAAATAGTTCAAATGAGCAAGAAATGTATTGATTTGAACTACAGGATTTGAAGTCATGTCAGTAGTTCAAATGAACAATAGTTCAAACGAACAATAGTTCAAACGAACAATACTTCAAACGAACAATAGTTCAAACGAATAATAGTTCAAACGGGAGTAGTTCAAATGAGAATCCACCTTGACTTCAGCATAAAATTTCAATGAAAATTAGGTGTATAATTTTTGAAAATAATTGGTGGGGGGGGGCCTTTGAAGTACTTTCTCAGATATTCAATCGTCGGATCAGAACTTCTGAACTCTATAATGGTCGGATCAGAACTTCTGAACTCTATAATGTTCGGATCAGAACTTCTAAACTCTATAATGGTCGGATCAGTGCAGAACTTCTAAACTCTATAATGCATTATAGAGTTTAATGGTCGGATCAGAACTTCTGAACTCTATAATGGTCGGATCAAGAACTTCTGAACTCTATAATGGTCGGATCAGAACTTCTGAACTCTATAATGGTCGGATCAGAACTTCTGAACTCTGTAATGGTCGGATCAGAACTTCTGAACTCTATAATGGTCGGATCAGAACTTCTGAACTCTATAATGGTCGGATCAGAACTTCTGAACTCTAGAGCCGGAATATGAAAAAAAAAATTTATCGATCATCGTAAATAGATCATCTCTACTGTACATTAAACAAGATGATTTAATTCATATTATAAAACGAATTTGTTAATAGAATAATAAAATAATGTAAATAGAAATTTGATTTTGCACAATTTTAGTTAAACATAATCACCTTGATTTGAAATCAGATTGACCGCATAGCGGCGTAAATAATTTGGGCTGAAGAAAGTTATTTTCATATCTGCAGTATTCATAGATATTTGGGACTCAGTACAGAAAATGTTTCGGAAAGGGTTATGCGTTGTTGGATCCGGCTCGGATTTTCGGAGATTTTATGAAATATCCGGATGTTTGAGAAAGTCCGGATGGAATGTTCATCCGGCTCGAGAAATGAGAAGTTTAACCCGGCAGAATATTGAAAACTTCAAACTTGCAGACAGGTCACATAGATCCTAATATAAAATAATTAAAATACTTTACAGTTTTGTGAGAGTAATGTTCTCCTTTTCAAGAAAAGAAAAGACATTGTTTTTGCCACAAACTGAAATTTGATAACCCTATCGTTGAAACCTGATGGTGTAAACCTTTTATATTTTAATTTTAGATCATTTGATCTAGCAGAATTAAAATTTCGAAACAATAGAGGTTGTATAATATAGGGGTTAGAAAATAGAGTTTGTGACAAAAACGTAGTCCCTTTCCATTCAAAAACGTAGTCCCTTTCCATTCAAAAATTTAGTCAATTTCCGTTCAAAAACTTTATAGTACGTTATAGTGACTGGTGCAAGTCGCTAGTCGCGACATACACATATTTGAGTAAAAACCAGGAAGAAATATTCGCCCCCCCCCCCTAGCTCAAAACGGGAAAAGGCGAAAGACATTGGATCAAAATATACATAAGAAATAAGAAAAAACGAATGGAAACCGTAAGATTTTTATCTATTATCAAAACATTGTTATGATAAATAGACTTCTACAGTTAGATGTAGATTAATCTCTTTCTAAATAATACAACTTAATCGAAATTAGATAGGTATTTACAAGAAATAGGAANAATAATAATAATAATAATAATAATAATAATAATAATAATAATAATAATAATAATAATAATAATAATAATAATAATAATAATAATAATAATAATAATAATAATAATAATAATAATAATAATAATAATAATAATAATAATAATAATAATAATAATAATAATAATAATAATAATAATAATAATAATAATAATAATAATAATAATAATAATAATAATAATAATAATAATAATAATAATAATAATAATAATAATAATAATAATAATAATAATAATAATAATAATAATAATAATAATAATAATAATAATAATAATAATAATAATAATAATAATAATAATAATAATAATAATAATAATAATAATAATATTAATAATAATAATAATAATAACAATAATAATAATAATAATAATAATAATAATAATGATAATAATGATAATGATAATGATAACAATGATGATTAGTAATAATAATAATGATAATAACAATACCTTTACTCCTACATCTAGTGGGTTGAGAGTGTTGAGTAGAGGACGGGTTGGTGTTACAGAGAACAGCTCTCTGATAAGCCTGGATATTGCAGTTGGAGATTTTACAGAGAAACAACTTCAGGTCAAACATTAATACATTTTTCAAGAGAATACAGAAGATAGGATTTTCGAATTTTTAAACCGCTAACTAGCTTTAATAATTTATGTGCTAGAGTTTGTGACAAAATGTAAAGGAATTGAGTTTTTGCCACTAACTCAAATCTTTTGATCCCAATATCTTTGCAACCTGATGGTGCAAACCTTTTATATTTCAAACTTAGATTATTTTATCTATAAGTATTAATAGTTTGAAATATCTATATATAGAGATTATAAATCAGAGTTGGTGGCAAAAACTCAACTCCTTTGAGATATTTAGTTTGAATAATAAAAATTTAATGAGTATTTTGGATTTTTTTTAAATACCGACCAGCAGAACCGTCGATCCTGTACCCTGTCTTTTAGCCAATTTTTTGCATTTGTTCATAACAAAATCATCCCAACCCTTATATCTTTTTAACAAACGAACCCAGATAGCCACCACTATAGAATTACAGCTATGTATAGCACGCTGCATTAGACTGCTACATATCTGAATGGAACTAAGTATTTCTTAATTATTCTTATAATTACATTTTTAGAAACCAAACCATGAATTACTCAACTGATTGAATTATTATTGTTTTTTTTAGATAAGATTGGATGGAGCCGATCTTATTATTGAAGCTAGAAAACTTGTGGAAACTGAAGAAGAGAAAGAAAGAGAGGAAGGCGCAGCAAGACAAAAACGAATTAGAAAAAGAACAGGAAAAATGTCGGATGAAATAAAACAAGTTAAAGGTTTGATGAAAGACGCCGCAAAGCGGAACGTTCTAAAAGATGAGGACTACAAGATCGAAGCCAGGGATGATCTTCATCAAGCAATGGTTCAGGATTTAGAGCAAGGAATGCGTCTTGGAGGTGATTGCAACACGGAATCTTTGACGTTAGAGAAGTTGGACCAATTTCAACCATTGGATGGTTCTAGCCAGCAACCTTCCGGCAGTGAGATAAGGAAGGAGGAGTTTAACACCGCGTTCAAGTCTTTCCTGGAGCAGGAGGTCATGTCAGAAGAGGACAAAAAGACGTTTGAAGGAGAACCGGAGAAGGAGGTAGAGGTGGAAAGGGAGGTTGAGGAGGAGTGGAGGCAGGAGATGAAGGATGAGGAGAAGCAGATTGTGGAGGATGTGGAGAATGAGTGGATAAGGAAGGTGGAGAAGGAGGAGATGAAGGAGGAGGAGAAGCAGGTTGAGAAGGAGGTGGAGGAGGAGTGGGTGAGGAAGGTAGAGAAGGAGGAGATGAAAGAAGAAGAAAAGCAGGTAGTGGAAGATGTCGAGAGTCAATGGATCAATGAGATTGAGAAGAAGTTTGTGAAGGAGAAGGATATACTGAAGAATGTTGCAGAGAAGTGGGTTGATATTATCAAGAAGGATGGTGTCAACAAGGAAGTAAAGAATGTGGAAACTGAGGTGGAGGAGGAATGGTTGGAGAGGAAACAGGAACTGTCCAACCCTTGTCAGGTCCAAGTCTTGACTGAAGATGAGATGCGTTCAATAAATCATGAAAAAAGTTATTCAAAGGTAAACATTTCTATTATAAATTCACAAAAGATAAAAATTTAGATTCTGTGGAAATTTGATAGTGGTTCCTGAACAATATTAAAATTTAAATATATTTATAAAAGATTGTGATTATTTTAAGAAGAGAGGTGAAAAGATCTTTCAAGAAGGAGGCAGACATAATGAAAACAAGATGGCGGACACAATGTCGTCTTACAAAATCCGTGAAAACAAGATGGCGGATAAAATGTCGTCTTCCAAGAATAGAATTGTAAAAGTAGAAGAGTTGATTTTGTCCCGGATACATTTACCAAATGGAATTGATGACACTGATCTTACTGCTCTGTTTAATCCTGGACATCTTAATATATACATCAGGTACAAATATTCAAATATTAAAGGCATTGTAGGCTATATGGTAGTACCTTGCTATACCTTTTTGATGACCCTTAATACAAATGACCGATTCACAAAAGTTGATTCTTTTTCTTGAGTATCAATGAGGATGATATCGTAATCTTCTAAAAAAAATTCTTTCATGTGTATATGATTATTGCAAAACTTTAATTAAACTTAACCCTATTCCTGCTGTGGGGGGGAGGGGGTGTCAATTTTACCCCCCCCCGTAGTTTTTTTTTACATAACTCAAAAAGTATTGGTCTGAGATTGTTGAAATTTTCTGACTTTCTGCATACCCAAAGCCCTCCCTTTAGGCCTAAAACCGGGCTCTAATACTAACTGCTTGAATGATTGCTTTTTCCTGTAACAAACTAAATCTTTGTTTTGACCCACTTCCACTTGTCAGATTTTGATAAAATTTAGCTTTTTGGAAAGCCTTTGACATAAGTAAATGAATTGCAAAAGTTTGGCGAAAAAAAATTGCAAATTTTTTGCAAACAGCCTGTCTAAGGAAATTTGCACATTTTTAGTTTTTCTTGATTAAAAATCAGGTTATTTAAAATTTTGCAAATTTTTTTGCATATTTGAAATGGCATGGTCAAGGGCTTTTTAAAAATGTATAATTTTTCATTTTTTGGACAATTTTTTTTGCAAAAATTTTTACTATATAACTGGATTTTGCGATAAAAAATTCAAGTTTTGCAAATTTGCAAATTTTTTTTGCAGATTCTAAAAGACCCCCCCCCCCCAGCATACCTGGTTTTCAAGTACCCCAGCAGAGATAGGGTTAAACTTAAATTTTCACAAGAAAAACAAGGGCATCAGCTCCATCACTTTTGTCTAGACAATGCAAATGGTTAAAGGGTATCGTTGTGAATTGTTTTAAAATGAGTCTCTAGAAATTAAGTCGACTGTACACTTAATAAAGTACTTTTTCAAAACTAGTTTCAGGGTCGTTAAAAATTGATTAATTAATTTTGTTGTTTTTTAGGAAGCATCCTCAGGTTTTCATTCCAATCATTCCGGCCAAACCTTACATTCATCCTATCCTAGAAATGTACTAAATAAAAATAAACATTACACATCCTAGAAAAGTACTAAATAAACAGTATCCTAGAAATGTACTAAATATAAATAAACATTACGCATCCTAGAAAAGTACTAAATGAACAGTATTCTAGCAATGTATACGGTATCCTAGAATTTACTAATCATTCAGTATCCTAGAAATTTACTAATTAAACAGTATCCTATAAATGTACTAAATAAACAGTATCCTATAAATGTACTAAATAAACAGTATCCTATAAATGTACTTTCAATATTATTCTCATATTGTACTTGTAATTATGAGATGTCTGGCAATGAGAAGTCTTAATACGATATGTCCCAACAGATTTTTAAGATATGTCCTACATATCAAAACTCAAAAGAATGAGTAATGCCAGCATGTTAAAAAAATATTTGATTATGTTTGAAATAATTGTTGGTAAAATGTAATGAATAATTTTAGAATAAATTAGACTAAAAAATAGGATTACACACAGAGGATGATAATGTAAATACGACCTGAATGGAAATTAAGAGTTCAGAGCCGCGATTAAAAAAAATCGGGAAAATACGGCTCGGGTCTAATCTGGTGTTGGGCCTTATTTACGGCTTGAGCTTTCGGATTCAAGCCGCATCTTATTTTCAACATAGTTGAGTTTAAAAACCCGGTTTCATATTCTATTTGGCTCATTTTCATGGTAGGAATTGGAACATTCCTGGTTTACATGAGAACAAGACTCAGCATTGAGCCTTATTCTTCACTAAAACCAACCAAGGTCGGTTTTATTTTCATTGGGCTTAACTCCTTAATCCGAGCCGAAGATCTTGCAGCTGTTAATCACGTTACACAAGCTGTCGTCAAAGTTTGGTCGAAGATTGGGTCGTAAAGTCGGGTTTAAGGAATTTTGGCTCGAGCCGAAGTTTTTAAATCGCGAGCACTGGCTTGAATGTGGTCTTTAAATAACTTATTTTATGATTAGGCAAAGATAAGTTTATAGTTGCAGGAAATTATGAAAAAAAGAAAAAATACAATAAAAATAGTAATAAACATAATTGTAACTTTATAAATTGCTATCTGAAACATTTCGTCTTTAAAATACAAGCCCTGTACAATGTGAACTCTCTATATAATAGATTAAAAATACCTTTGACATGTAGTTCACTATCAAATTTCAAATGTCATCCTTCAGAACCCGACACATTTACTCTCAAGTTTGGACAGCAAACTTAGATATTGAAGTTCCATGGTTATCCACAAATGATGAGACTATAATGATCACAAACGCTTTAATTATGACAATCTGAATATTAGATTTGGATTTCCGTCTTTAATCTAGCCTCTTAATGGTTTACTAGAGAAAGAAGCTTGTTTCCAACTGCAGAGATTGATGAATGTAAGATAAAGGACTCTATATTAATTACGTACAGTCGTGTATAAAGTATCATCCTTTCATGAACACAATTATTGCAGTATTCTAGTAGAAGCATCTAATATCAAAAACCCCTGCTCTTGAGATTTTTAAAATGTGGTCTACCTTTTTTGTATCTACTATAATTTGACGATATTGCAAAATTTGTACAAATTGTAATTTATTTAACAAATAAAAATTGTTTAGCATAATATCTAATATCTTCGCACAGACAGCCAGAGTACATTTTAATTTCCGAGCCGGGCCAACCTTTCCTGTCCCAGTTTGTACTGTACCTGGCTCTATGGACAGGACTAGCCGTATAGACCACTTTATCAAAAGCTCGAAAGACGTACAGCCTCGTTTTTATACGTTCTTTGACATGCATTAAATATCGGAAATCAAAAACGATTTTCGAGTCGTCTCCTGATTCCCATGTTTATTGGGACACCCTGTAGTATACACTTTATTACAAATTATTAGAACAAATTGATTATTTTTATTATAGGCATGGTTTTATTTCCAGAAGTTTAAATAAAAACATTTTTTTTATTTTCCATTACCTTTCTTTATTATTTATTTTTTGTGTAAAAAAAATTCATTGATTATTAGTAAAGTGAAGAAATTTGAGAGTCTTAAAATGGCTTTTACAACAGTTCTCAAATATCCGACCTTATATTAATTCTTTAGAACATATTTTTGATATTAAATTGTAGTATACATCCATTTGAAATTGCAATTAGTGCAGAGCAAGTTGTTTTTAAAAAATAAAGATGTTTTTTTAGATGCTCTTTCTCTCTCCTGAGATTTTAAATAGTTATCTAAACATTTATTTTTAAATGATTTTACACTCTTAAGAGCAATAATGTTAATATAAATTATTTTCATAAACTTATAATACAGATACATACATTAAGATTAGTTTAAATACAGTCTTCGTTATATATATCAATACAATGAAGACGACTTTCTATTTTAATTTGATTTCTACAAAGCTTTCAAACATCATATACACATAAACAAGTAAACAAAGCTAATTTTCTCGTTGTTTACAAGTAAAATTTCCATTTGAAAAACGTTAGTCAGGGATCAAAGCATTATTCCTGAAAAGTCGTCTTCATTGTATTGATATGAACGTCGACAACTGTAGTTCAACATCATGGAAGCAAATATTTACAAAACTATAGAAAAAATATGAAAAGAATAATTAATTGTAAAAATATTAGAGATTATTACTTATAAATTCTATCACATGTAGCGTGTAATTATATACATGAATGTTGGCACAAAAAGACCGTAAAGGACAAAATTAAGTCCAAAATACTGAAAACTGCTGCTTGAACTAAACCAATCAAAATCTTTGATTGATTTTTGCAAAGTTAGAGGTTCAAAGTGTAAACTACTCTCGAACATGTCATAACTTTTTATGTAGAAATTTGTCAGGGTCTCCGCTGCGTAGAGACCCCCGCATATAAGAACCCGTACAAGGAAGTAGGCTAGGAGTAGTGTGAGAAGAGCTAACCCAATATATCTTGCAGCAATTGGGAGATGTTCATGAACAAGATGCTGTCTCTCAACCTACAAATAGAAAATTAATTTCCTTGTGCTCTGAGGGCCTGTAGACGTAATTTCAAATGTCGGATTCAAGATGGTACCCATAAAAACCTTTTTCTGATTTGATGTTAATGAGATATTACTAACTGTAAAATTTATGGAGAAATATGAAAGATCAAACATAGAAAATATAACATCAAATTCTAGATTGACCTTGATGTTAATAAGTGCAAAAGTGTTCGCATGTGAAAAGGTTTGAAAACAAGCTTTCGAACGAATGATTAAAACTGCTAAATTGCAAAAATGTTGCCAATTCATCCTACCTTTGCTAATCTCAAAGGATTTGCTGTGTTGCATGCCTCACAGTTGTCAGCTGAAATAATATTAACATTTAACAAATTTGTAATTTGAACTATCTAAAAAATATGTTGTTTGAAACTTAATGTACAGCGAGAATCAGACAACTATGGAAAAGGAAGACGACATTGAGGCAACAATTAAGTGAATTTGATGATTATACACTCTACAAGGGCTGTGTCTCATATTCATTGGACTATTTAATTTCATAACTTGAGTCTAAAAGTCGTCTTCCTATTTTCAAAATTGTCTGGATCTTCCTGTAGCCTTTTCAACCTTCATATTGTTTAAATCTTATGTTCTGCAGTTGTACCCGGACAAACTGTGAAATAGACTCAAATTCACGGGCAGCCGTAGTTCATTTGAATTTCCGAGCCGGGTCAACCTTTCCAGTCCCAGTTCGTACTGTACCTAACTCTATGGACAGGACTAGCCGGTGCAACAAGGTAGACGCGGTCAGACTTTATGCTTTATACAGGTTGAATTTACTTTTACTAAAGGGGCACAGGTGCGTGAATTATGATTTTTAAGAGTTCTATAAACATTAAACATAGCAATTAAAATCAACATAACATACACATAAAATTTACATAAAACTTAGTCTTCCTATTCCACAGTTTTTTGGGTACCACTGTATACAACTGGAATTGGTCAAAATAAAGAAAGTTTTTAATGTGTGTTGTAATATATAACCACAACATATTAGAATGCTATATACTTTGGAGAAAAAAACTCAGCGGGAGCGGTTGAACGAGCGGTTGAGATCTAGCCTAGACTCTACGCAGTTCAGAATAAGAAATGCTCCTTTTTTTCTCAAACTTAAAATTTGTTAAATCAATAAATTCGTGCTTTTTTTCTTTCATATTTTTATTCACATTTTAAAACTTTTTTAGTAGTTATACACAATTTTTTGCTTTCAACCGCTGGGTTAAAGATTTTTCAGCAACTTTTTCCTTTTAACTACTTGCACTGAGTTGCTTTTAACTACCATCGAAAATAATTTGTCATGAAAGACGTTTTCTTTCCACCACTGGTTTTAAAATTTTTCGGCAACTTTTTTGCTTTCAACCGCTAGGTTCAGGATTTTTCAGCAACTTTTTTGCTTTAAACCTCTGGGATGCTTTTATACGCTGGAACAGTTTTTAATGAAAAATGTTTTCTTTTAAAAACCGGTTCTAAGATTTTCCAGTACCTTTTTTCTTTCAACCGCTGGTTTTAAGATTTTTCAGCAACTTTTTGCTTTCAACTGCTGGGTTGCTTTAACCACTGGAAAACAGTTTTTCATAAAAAATTTTTTCTTTTAACTGGTTTTAAGATTTTTTAACAACTTTTTTGCTTCAACCGCTGGGTTTAAGATTGTTTATCAACTTTTTGCTTTCAACAAAAGTTGCTGAAAATTCTTAAAATCAGCGGTTGAAAGTTAAAAAGTTGCTGAAAAATCTTTAAAGCAGCGGTTGAAAGCAAAAAAGTTGCTGAAATATCTGAAAACGGTTGTAAGCAAAAAGTTGCTGAAAAATCTTTAAAACAGCGGTTGAAAGTAAAAAAGTCTGAAAAATCTTAAAAAACCGGCGGTTGCAAGCAAAAGAATTTGCCGAAAAATCTAAAACCAGCGGTTGAAATAAAAAAGTTGCTGAAAAATCTGAAAACAGTTGAAAGCAAAAAAGTTGCTGAAAAATCTTTAAAACAGTGGTTGAAAGCAAAAAAGTTGCTGAAAAATCTGAAAACGTTATTCATGAAAAATTATATTTCATTTGTTGAAAAAGTGGGATTTAGCGGTTGAACAAATTGTGAATTTCTTCTTAATTTCTTATTCCGAACTGCGTAGAGTCTAGGCTAGATCTCAAATGCTCGCTCAACCGCTCCCGCTGAGTTTTGTTTTCTACAAAGTATATAGCATTCAAAATATTATATAAAACTTTTTTTCACAAAAAAATATAAGATATTAACAAAATCGTAAAAATAACTGTAAATTATTACTCTTTACTTTTTTCAAGCATTTGTTATATGTTACTAAAGTTTCCAACGGAAGTGCATTTTACTTGCGCGCAATCCGCGCAATTCGCGCAATTCCGCACAATTCCGCACAATTCCACACAATTTCGCGCAACGGAATTCCGATTGGAAATTCTAATTTTTCTCAATCTTTACCTGTTACAGGGTTTTTTAGAGTGCACATTTCACAGCTCCAATCAATGTCCTCAATAAGCTGGCCCTAGAATAAAAATATGATCATTGATCAGGGTACAATGATAAAAGTATGATCATTGATCAGGGTACAATGATAAAAGTATGATCATTGATCAGGGTACAATGATAAAACATTGATCAGGGTACAATGATAAAAGTATGATCATTGATCAGGGTACAATGATAAAAGTATGATCATTGATCAGGGTACAATGATAAAAGTATGAAACGCACTTTTAGAGCTTTTTATTTTGAAACGTAATGAAACAAAAATTGTTCTATATCTTTGAATTCTGATGTTAACATTTTGCATTTTAATTTGTTGACTTTCTACAACAGAATTCATAGTTTGAAGTACCAAATACCTTTGTCATCAAGTTGCAAAGATATAATCAGAATTGAAGGCAAGTGTTTTCTTCCTTTACCTTCTGTTTGCCTGCTTTTTCATGAACATTGTAAATTGCATTTTCCTGAACTGCATTGTAAACTGCATCTTCCTGAATATTATCTAGATGCACCTCTCCAATACTGCTCAATCTAAAATTGTAAAATTGTAAGGATAAAGATTGATTAAATTTAAGGTAATTTTTCCCATTTTATAGTTTTGAAGAGAAAACAAACTTAATTCCGAATTTGGTGTTTACAAAAATGAATTCTTTGGTTTATAAAAATGAGGCCTTGAATATACCCTGTACAGTGTGCCCCACCTCTCTTCATTAAAGTTTGTCCAAGGTCCAAAAATATATAACAGGGTGTCCTACAAATCATGGAGTAGGAAGACGACTTAAAGTTCGTTTTTGATTTTTGAAATAATTTGCGGCATTTATTTGTAAACTTAATTTTAGAATAGAAAGTTCTTGAGGTAAGAATAACAAAATCACCCAAGCCCTGAGTCCAAATTAAATGAATTTGAGCCGTGTCTCAAATCCGCCAAAACTCGGTTTCAATTGAGCGCAGGCTTTAATCTTAAAACATTGAATACGATGTTATGTGGAACCAACCTTTTTTGAGCCTCGTCTCAAATTTAAGCCGCGGCTCAAATTCTTTAAATTCGGTCTCTGGAATTTCCATAATGTGGTTTTTTTGTTCTTTTTATATCACCGTGGCTATGAACATTTTTGTTCAGATTTCGACAATTTTGGTTTAATTTAAGAAATAGTCTGAACAAAATTCTGATAACATATTGGCAGCACAAAAAAATAGACCAAAATTTGGAAATACCAGAACTAGGAAAACTTAGCGAGGATTATTTCAAGTAAATAAAGTTGAATATTGAATTTCATAGATCGAAGACAACCTTAAAATTGTCTTTTTATATTGTCAAGTTTAGTGGGAAATTCTGTATAAACTGAATACATTGAGAGGAAAATCCAGAAAAATCTGAATTTAAAAAGAAAATAAAAAAACATTGCAACTGTAAATTTTTTGTTTAAAACATTGCAAGAATTGACCTGCCCCACAATGTATGCACAATTTTGCAAACAGAAAAAGTTTTGCAACTTAAAGGACAGGGAAATTAACTTATCTCAAAACTTTAAAAATAAATTTTAAGTTTTATTTACAAACATGAAGATAAACTATAAATGTAAACTCCGGAAATCTGTTAAAGTAAAAGAATTTAAAATATTAAGTCATAAATAGAAATAAATATATTTCATAATAGAACTTTCATGCATCCAACACTGAAATTAAAACAATTAATTTCATTAATTAATTAATTAATTTAATGTAAGATTGTAAAATGATTGTTCTTACAACCCATGTCGAGAAAATATTCCACGAGTTCATTAAAATACAGATATTTTTTCCACATTTTTTTATTATTTTTTTTTCTCAGGAAACAAGGAGCATGCTCTATATATTCTCTTTTTGTTATGCAGTAATTTTTACAAAAGTTCAAAGTTCTGGTTTAATATTAAGTACATACACTGGGAACCAGGAAACAGTTGACTAATTGTCATGTTTTTCCTTTTTATTAGAAAAAACTTCGCTAAAGATTTTGAAATTTACAACTATGCTACATCTTTAAAAATTAGCATGAACAATTGCAGCGATATACCTATTATGGCAGTTAGTGTTACTCAGTAGTCGTCGTTAATAAACATAGAAACAATCAGAAGCTGTCAAATAACAAATTCTCTTTGTTTACTTGTAAAAAATCAAGAAGAAAAGTCGTCTTCCTTTTCTTCACATAAACGCCTACCACTGTACAATATACTCAGTGTAAAGAAAGATATCCCAACGAAAACCATTCTAATATATTCTTGATATTTTAGGGTAGTAATAAAGTACCTTGAGCCCCCACATGCCCCACAGATAGACTGTTCTAATCTATTCTCTAGAGTACACCTTCTACAGCTCCACATGCTGTACTCCTGTACTCAACAACACATTTTTAGAAGATTTTTACGAATCAATCTTATACTTTCTATGAAGGGCATAACGGATTTATAATTAAAGCTTGTTTATTCAAAATTCGAGGGTTTCGCATTAAGTTTCCCTTTCTCAGAAGGAGGCGCGGGGTTGCGCAGAAGAAAATTCACGATTTAAGGTTCAGAGTCTCAAGAGGTTCCGTGATTATTTAACGATAAGAGGTTCCGTGATTTTTATTCATTGGTTTGTTCTATTTAAAGGCAATCGGGTTTGTACAATAAGTAAGTAAATTGTACAATCGTGGTCCAAGAATTTATGAATGAATTTTGATTGTTAAAAATGTGATTCATTGTTCCTCTTCTGCGATGGTATCATGTATCTAAAAATTAAACATTGCTAATTCAAGAAATAATGATAATTCTACTTTTAAGCAAATAAACTAAACACTCACTACAAAACCTAATTAAGAACCCTATCCCTGCACCCTTATGATGATGTAGAAATTTGATATTAAGAGCTTAGATACGATTTGATCAATAAGTATTAAAAGAATAGAATATTAAAGGTCAACAACATCAAGTTGCAAAAATCAAGTTTTGGCAAGTGTTCAGGTTCTATACAAAAATACCTTATTTTCATTTCTCTGCAAAGTTTTGATGTTTTCTTGTGCAAAAACAGCGGCTTGGGATTCTTTCCCTTCTTTTTCCTTTCTTAGTCTTCTTTCCTCCCTTTCTTTCCTCTCTCTTCGCTCTTCTTTCTCCTCCCTTTCTCTTCTTTCTCTTCTCTCCTGTCTTTCTTTCTTCTCTCGTCGTTCCCTTTTCTCCTCTTTTTCCTTGTCCAGCAAAATGTAAATTTGATTATAGATGAAACCAGAAAACCAGAAGACGTCTTTTAAGATCAAATGATGAACAAAAAAAGTTCATAGAGCAAGAGACACAGCATTTGAAGAGTGATAAACAGACCCATTTAACTAAGTAAGTGATTTAATGAGTTACTTAATGAGTAACAACATGACATTTTTGTGCTATCATGTGCTCTTCCTATTCCATTATTTTTGGTAATCACGGTATGTATACAGGGTGAGTAAAAAAAACCTGGGAATATTGATGTTATGGAAAACATTTTTCAATTTTTTTCCCTCGGATTTTAGACATGAAAAAAGTAAAATGTGATAAAAAATTCGAAAATATTTTTGAAACATTGGGAAAAAAAATCGGCAAACCAAATAATTTTTGAAAAAATATAATTTTTTGAAAAATTGTCGGGAAAATATTTATTTTATTGTTTTTCAAAATTTCATAAAAATTCTTCGAAAATTGAATGATATAAAAAAATCCGCAAAATAATATTTAGAGTGTAAATGTTATTAAAATAACCTTAGAACTGTTATTACTTTAAAAATGCATATAATTGGCTGACATTTTTTATATCACATTCAATATTGATGAATTTCGATCATATTCATATTTTTGAAAACAATATAATAAACATTTTCCAAAAAAAATTTCGCGGATTTGCTTTTTCAATTTTCCAAAAATATTTGTTACATGCTATGAACAGTAAAATAATTGGAAAATTATGACTAAAACATCGATAATCCCTATTTTTTTACTCCCCCTGTATATTTGTCAGCTAAAATGTTCTAAAAATACTAATTTTGTGTGCATTTCTGTTTAACTAGGCTTACATTGTAAAACGAAAACAAGAACAAGAATTCGATCATCCATAAACCTTCCTTGGAGTCACGTGAGGTCCCACAAAAAAGTTTGGGTCCGATTGTCTCAGCCGTTTTGACGTTTATTGGATACAAACGATCTGACAGACAGAAAGTCAAGCAAAGTATGTAATGTATATAGAAGTGGATTTCCAAATAAAATAAAAATCTAGATTTTTTAAGGCAACATTTTCAATTTGGACCAACAATACCCCTTCACCATGGAGTCATAGAGAAACCTGAAACCTGATTTTTACCTTTTCTCTCCTGGCTTTGTTAGATCTAGGAGATAAATCTGGATCCAGATCAAAGGTTATCGAAGAACTTCTAACAGAACATTAATCAATAATATCCAATAGTTTCCAGGTCGTAATCAAACAAAATATGTCAGGAGACATAGTTTAACTACTCATTCTTTGTTCAACTACATAAAAAAACATTGATAACGAGAAAAACCATAAAACTTAGAAATAGGAAGACGACTTTTTGAATCAAGTTGTGATTTGAAAAGTTTAAAGAACATGATGATGATGTAATAAGTAAATTAAAAATATTTTCTGTGTATTCTATTTTTTCTGGTTATAACCGTAGTCCAATAAATATATGAGACATAGCAATTATGCAATGCAAAATGACCCATTTAACAAATAAATTGATTAAATGAGTCACTATAGTAAAGCTGTTTGCCTTGTAACAACATCAAAAACATTTTAGTATTGTTTTAGCGTCGCTTACTATCCAACAGCTTTCTGGTTATCACTGTAATAAACTATTTTTTTCTGTTATATATCTAGCTGTAACATCGAATAACTATTTAATCCCCTCCCCCCTTTCTCTCCCCCCCCCCCTTTGTTTTGCATATTCCAGGTCAGCCTTACTTTGCATTTCGGCAAGATAAAAGAAATTGTTTGACCTAAACAACAATACCTAGTCGCAGGAAAATCAAGACAATTACATAAATCAATTTCATACAAGGAATATACGAGCAAACATATTTTTGTTTACATAAAATTGCAGTTTATGGGAGGTATGTGGACAATACTCGGACTACTACAGTAATAACCAGAAAAAAATGGAAAATGAAGACGACATTAATATAGCAATACTCAAGTGTATTTGATGTTGTTACGAAGCAAATAGCTTTACTAGTAAGTTATTAAATCATTTATTAAGTAAAATGTGTCTTTTTACACTGCACCTATTGCTAGCTGTGTATCATGCTCATTTAAAGCTAAAACTTGATTACAAAAGTTTCAGATATCCAGAGTTTTCTGGTTTGCAATTTTTAATACATTCCAGAAACTGACAAAAATTTTCTTGTTTATTATTGCATTTATAAAGCAATAAAATAATAAAAATAATTAGTACACAAATATTTGACTAATGTGCTTATAAAGATGTTTAAAATATTGAAGTTAAGTTCAGGGAATAATCAATTTTAAACTCAATGACCCATCAAGTTAGTTCCGGTCGGTCAACAATACACAGGGATACATGGATACAGGAATACAGGGATACTTAATTACAGGGATACAGGGATGCATGGATACATGAATACATGGATACGGGGATACACAGGGATACATGGATACAGGAATACACAGGGATACATGAGATACAAGAATACAGGGATACAGGATTACAGGGATACAGGAATACAGGAATACAGGGATACAGGATTACACAGGGATACATGGATAAAGGGATACAGGGATACAGGATTACAGGGTTACAGGGATACAGGATTACAGGGTTACAGGGAAACATGGATACATGGATACAGGAATTCAGGAATACAGGAATATAGGGTTACAGGGATACAGGAATACCGGGATACAGGATTACAGGATACAGGGATACAGGGATACAGGGATACAGGGATACAGGGATACAGGGATACATAAATACAGGGATACAGAGATACAGGATTACAGGAATACATGCATACAGGGATACAGGATTACAGGGATACAGTAATACAGGGATACAGGATCACAGGAATACATGGATAAAGGGATACAGGGATACAAGAATACAGTGATACATGGATACAGGAACACAGGGATACATGATTACAGGTATATAGGGATACATTGATACATGAATACAGGGATACAGGGATACAAAGATACAGGGATACATGAATACTTGGATACAGGGTTACAGGATACAGGGATACAGGGATACAGGGATACAAGGATACAGGGAAATATGATTGCAGGGATACATGAATTTAGTAATACATAGATACATAGAGATACAGGGATACATGGATACAGGGATACAGGGATGCATGGATAAAATAATACAATAATACAGGGATACAGTTGATAAATGATTCATAAATTAATTCATGTTTTGATAAAAGTTCCTGGATCTTCTGCTATCTGGACGATTTTCTGGAGACTGCCGTCGCTCCGATCTTTCCCTACTAAAAATACATATTATTCAACTGAACAACGTTTTTTTAAATCACATTTTAAAAAGCTATTTACCGATTATTCTTGTGCTTGTTTGGCATAGAATAAATAGGACCAATATCTAAAAAAATATTTGTATAATTTTCAAAATATTATTGTTGAACTTTTCTAAATTACATATAATGTTCGAATTTTCAAAGTAAGGATGAAGACAAATTTAAAAAACGGCGTATATGCGTCTTTTATTCAGCAAAAATATGATATGATATATGATTTAGCTTCTAATGTTGACAGGAGAGGGATAAAATCGTTTAAGCGCTAGAGTTTGCATAAATTACCTTTTTTTAGTTCCCCTCCTTCACAATCCATATTTTAATATAAATAATACCTGTGTTATCCAACCGTTTAGATTCAAACCAAGAATGTAAACTGGATCCAGTATCCCCTGGAACCTTCAAAAAATATAATTTTCTGAAGTCCCAAAAACAAAGGAAATTTTGTCTTTTATCTAAATCATTACTAAGTAGCAAAAATTGTAGGAAAAAAAACACTTTTTTCCTAAGGCTTTATTACATTCCCTCCCCCCCCCACCCCTATTTTGACAAAGCAAATGACTACCTAATTGATTCCTTTCTTTAATGCTTTATCTTCCTATGTTTCCTTAACATTGACAGAAATATTATTATAGTGTAAAGAAAAATTTGTTGCTTTTGTAAGTAAAAAGTGCAGCAGACAACATTTTATACATTTCATGTCTAATTTCTAAAAATTCTAAATATGGAATATGACCATATAATTGTATTTACGAAATAATGCCCCGTGGAAAGACGATATAAAATCGAAGTTTAGCTTTTAAAGGTTTCATCAGGCATGCTTTAAGTGAATTGACGTTTAAACAGTATAATTGTATTGAATTATCATTTTCAAACCAACAAAGAAACAATTAAAAAAAAGATAAGATAATCATCTATGTCTGAAATAAAGGTCAATAAATGATTAATTAATTTTTAAAAATTTTAAAAGTTTAGTTGCCTTTTATTGCATTAGTCTGGCATTGTAGAAAATTTTATACTTAACGCTTATTCATGCAAATAAAATGAAATGATATTTAAAATAATATTTTGTTTGATCTGACATTTGATCTAACTATGTTTTCAAATCTAGACTTGGAATCTGTCTTTAAAATAACAAATCAATCTAAAAAAATTTAATACTAAAAGGATTGAGATATTCAATTAACAAAACCAATACATAATCTAACAGACATACTTTATTAGCAGAAGACCAAAATTAACCTTTATTTTGTTATAAGTTCAGTTACTTGAGACGTAATCCATAACTTGAGTGTACTCTGGACTTTAATATGTACTGCAACCTGGATTTCTTGTCATTGTCATTGTCATTGAAACAAGTATATTTCTTCATACCAATAAGGTTAGTTACTCTCGATGCGCTCCAATGAACGGAAATGTCGTCCTCTAATATAACCTAATATGACGTTACTGATTATAGAGACGAGATTGATGTCATAGAATGTTTTCATTTACGTTGGTAGGCGATCATATCAATATAAGGAAGACGACTTTCGATTTCAATGTTGATTTATATCAAGATTTTAAAGCTGTCAATTAAAAGATCTTCTCTTAAATTACTTGTAAACCTGTAATTCGGAAAAAAACTTGCTGACAATTAAAACTTAAACAAAAAAGTCGTCTTTATTAAATTGATACAATCGCCTACCACGGTAACATATTCCTTAGAAGACAAAGGGGGTGATATGAAAATAATGAACCTGCACACTAGGTGGAAGATTGGGAAGGTAGGGCAACTTTTTCTGATTAAAATCTGGAGATGCCTCTAGAACAAATAAATCAATTCATAAAACATTAAAAGGAAAAAACTAAAACTTCGAAAACCCAGGAAAAAACGGCTGCAAGCAACATAGATTTCTATCTTGTGATATTCATATGTACAAAGTTCTACTCTGAGTAGATAGGATTTAAAATATGAATCAAATATACGATTAAATTCTAAATTTACTTTCCCCAGAACACAATATTAAATAAAATTGAACGTGTTCAGAATTTCCTTGTTTGATAGCACATCTCAATATCTAACATTTATGGAAGAACTGAACATTTGACTCAAACTCTAATTTTCTAAAATCTTTTTATCTAACTGAAGTGAAGTTGTAAAACTTCAAAAGTTGTCAACGGAAGGTTTCAAAGATAAATGGTTTATAAATGTACAGTTTGAGGCAACCTTTAAGTTCCTTTTTTTGAGGACAAATTTCTTGTTTTATGATAAATGTTGATTTTCCATTTTTATTTTAAACAATATCGAGATTTATTCAATTTTTGGTATTCAGTGGTAACCTGCATAGACTGTACAGTGTTAAGCCGCAAAAAAAAACAATTTTTATTTCATTTTGAAAATTATAAGAACAATGGCGCGAGGAGACCTTTAAATTGTTGTAATTATGAAAACTCGAAGATTTACCAATTAAAGTTGGAAGATTTCTTCGTAACATTTTAGTAGAAGACTGTCTCAACTGTTTTCCTGTTAAAAAAAATGAAAAGATTCTAACCAAAATCTAAAAACAAAGAAATCAAGGTTTTGCCACAAAATCAAATCTTCTAATATCTATATCTTTGCAACTTTATGATTTAAACCTTTGATGTTTCAAACATAGAAGCTCTTTAATCCAACATGATTTATAGTTTGAAATATTTTAGGTCTACGATAGGGATTAGAAAATCAGAGTTTGTGGCAAAAAATCATTTCCTTTAAATATGTGTTCATACTTATGAGTTGTGACTTATCCAAGTATATTTAAATTGATGTTATTGTTTAAACAACAACAAATGTTGTTTTTGCTCGGTAAAAAAACTCTAAGAAACGTTGACAAAGAGTTGATTTCTTTATTGACCGCTCTGCACAATTTGTTGATAGAAACTAGCACAACAAATATGAACATTTAAATTTAAAAAATCTTTTCATTTTTTTCTCCCTAAAATCAGTTCTTCCTTTCTGTCTAAATCCAGTAATTTAACAGGAGACATCTCAGATCTGAAATATATTCACAAATTATAATATCTTAGATCTGAAACATATTCACAAATTATAATATCTTAAAGCTGAAATATATTCACAAATTATAATATCTTAGATCTGAAATAAATTCACAAAATATTATGTCTTAGATCTGAAATATATTCACAAATTAAAATAGCTTATACTCGTGATTAAAGTTTGGTCACGATGGATTAGGGTCAATTGACCTATCTCATTAGCTTAGTTTTATGTGAGGCAACTCTGAAAGTGTCGCAACGCCTTACTCTTTGGTGTTACATCAAAAACTATCTTATACATTTTTGGAGCCCTTGACGTACACATTTCAGAAATGCAACGAACTTGTTTCCAATTTAAGTTTTAAAGGATTAATTGGCAAAATACTGCTCGAATTTTGCGTGGTTTGCAGTGATGAGCGAGTTTGTTCATTATTGATAAATATATATCTGCAATGAGGTTTAATTTAAACCCAGAGGCCGGAAATTTTGAATCTTGCATCGGAAGCTTCAAAATTTTTAGTTCCCATCCTGTCGAACATTTATCAGTGGACGCTCTATCTACATTTGCGTGATATCTTAATTTATATTATGGAGTATTTACATATCCCTATATCTTTGGAACCTGATCGTATACAACTTTGATAGTTTTTTTTTCTGAAAATAAGTTTCTCATTCTCCTTGGGTAAAACTTATTACAAAACAATTCTTAAAATATTTTGAAAATTATACTAAACTAATTATACAGTCTATACAGATACAGATACAGATACAGATACAGATACAGATACAGATACAGATACAGATACAGATACAGATACAGATACAGATACAGATACAGATACATATTCAGATACAGATAAACATACGTATATAGATAAATCTATTAATAGTATGCTACTGGTTAAAGATAAATGAGAAAGCATCGAGCAATAATTGTTTCTTTAGTAGATAGATAGATAGATAGATAGATAGATAGATAGATAGATAGATGATAGATGATAGATAGATAGATAGATAGATAGATAGATAGATAGATATATAGATAGATAGATAGATAGAAAGATAGATAGATAGATAGATAGATAAATAGATATATAGATCAAAAATATTTTATTTATTTATATTTCCGTCTTGCAAAATGAAAAATATCTATTAATATTAATGGTGTCAACTGGTGCCAACCCATCCGGCCTGTTCTGGAAACTAAATTTTCTCAATAAAAGTCAACCCTCTCAACTTAGCAATTCCTAGATCTCTTTTCAAAATTTGAGGCAAAGTGGTCAAAGGGCGTTTGAGTTATGATCGGACAAACAGAGATTACTACTTTATATATAGGCGATTATAGCAATACGGTGAAGACGACATTCCTATTTAAGTTTTGATTGTTTATTTCGAATCACAAGTTTGTAATCTGACCTTTCTTGACCTCTATGTTTTAGTGTATCCAAGCTGTTTAACAGCATGATATAAATCAAAATTGAAATCGAAAGTCGTCTTCATTGTATTGATATAATTGTATACCACTGTGGAAAGATAAAAGATACAAACATTGTGTTACATTTTATGGAGGCCTCTGTGTATCATTTTATTTAATTAAATCTGTGATGATATTGAAATTGGCAATAATTGTTTTTTAAAATTAAATTACAATTTGTTCAAATTATTTGAATTTGATCTTTGGACATATTTAAATGAATATTCTATATTTAAAAAAAAAGAGTATTGTTTATGTCCAATTCTTTAAAAGGTTTATATACCCCTACTTAAAAAAAAGCCGCCCCCCTCCCCCCAATTTACGTAAAAGTTCGTTAATTAGATCGACCCCCACCACCACTTTATACACATACATCTAAACATTTTGTTTTTAATCTATGTGACAGAAACAATCTCATGGAATAATAATTGTCTTAAAACACCTTTTATTAATGTGAATATTCGCAAATTATCTTTTTTTCCATCTAATAATCTGAGTTCGTTTCCCTTATGTCCATTTGACAACCCAATTTTTTAAATAATCTATTTTGTTTGTTTATTTTCTTGTGGTTTCTAACAATTTTTTTTTTCATCGATTTTGATGGTTATTATATCGTTAGAACTTACGAGGGTCAACCCAGACCGAAATATATTTAAAATAAATGTGGAACTAGTATCTACTTTTTTTTACTCTACAGAGGTTTGGTCCATCACCATCACCGAATTTTTATTCTATAAATGATCGTTTATTTCGCTAAACTTAAGCACTCTGTGGTAATGAATATAGGTGTATGTACCGTTGCGCTTACCTCAGCTGGAAGATAGTGGAGAGGAAAGAGAGGAAAGAAAGGAACAAGGAAGATCCAGAAAGGTCACATGCTGGCAGGCCACCAGCACAGACCAACCTGAATAGAGGGCTGCAATAAATAGGACTTGGGGCGGCCGGCTTAGCCGGTCTCAGTCTCAACCCAACAAGTCCTGAGCCTACATAAACGTATACCAATGACGCCGGAGCCTGGCAGGCTAACCGGCGTAAGTAATGGTAAAGTCAAGAATACGTAAGTGCGTATAAAGCATTATGCAAGGCCCTCAACTTGTACTGGAAACTTTACTTGGCGAGTTTCTTCATTTTTCTAACAACTTTTTTAATATTGCAAATTAAAAGTATTAAAAGGACAAATTGGAATACTGATCACTTAACAGGCATACAACACACCTTGAATAATTTAAAGTATCACAACAAAGTTTATTTTAGGTTTTTTAAAGGTTAATTTGGTAAAATCTTATTCTAAATTAATACACTTCCTTTAGATATTTTGACGTCAAAACTCATAAACTAACTCAAAAGGGAGCTTTTTTCAGGTCGAATATTTATCAGCAATTTTAAAAACTATTCTTTTTATATCATTCTAAGTATTAAAGATGTCTTACAATTGTCAAACAATTTGGACAGATTTCTAGAACAAAAATAGCTTTTTTGTATCTAAAGCACTCCTGTATATGCCATTGCCGAGACTATTAGCGCCTGATCCAATCAGGGTTCAGTCATGTGTGTGTTGTCTATTCTGAACCTATAGAAATAGTATGGCAGTAACGTCTATCTTTCTATCTATCTCATTATCCAATTAGAGTTATGAATTCTTCAATCGGCGCTATACACTAAATAGTAATATTTACTGCTACTACTGAAACTATAGTGAAAGAACTATATGCTCTTATCGAAATTTACTCTAAATAGGCTTACGAATCTACAGTTGTATAGCCAGGGGGCCTCCCGCGCCAGAACCCCCCCCATCAAAAAAAGCGTAAGAATACAGATATGAAAGCTGCAATAAATGCTCACTGCTCAATTTTTAAGACAGGCTCTTTCAAAAATAGATCGCCGTTGTTATTGTACAGAGAAAATTTTAAAAAATGGCAAAAATATATCGGAAAACTTGCATTTTTTGGTGTTTGACAAAAACTTAGATGCGACATTTGTTTTCAATTAAAATTTTCAAGGGCTTTTTAATATACTAATAAAGTAATAATGTATATCAAAATTGGGTTGAAAGACCGCCCGTTCATTTTTCAATAATAAACTTGGTTTAACTGGACAGATATTTGTCCCAGGAGTGTTAAAACTAGACAAATTGTATATTTTAACTAGATTCTAAATATGTTCTATATATTCTATATTCTATAGATTCTATATATATTTTATATATGCTATAGATTCTATATATATTCTATAGTTTCTATATATATTCTATATGTATATAATATAGTATAGCATTTAAATCATGGTTGTCATGTTTAGAGTATGATCAGATACTAAAACCCTTCAACCCTTTCTTTGAATCTGAGCGGAGTAGAGAACCTGGAGAATAGGATCAGTGCACCTAGGATCCTTGACCAGTTGAGAAGAGAATCTTCCGTTTATAAAAAACAAGGCCTGGGGACCTGGGGCCATGGGAACTTGTACAAGCCCTACCCATGGGAACTTGTACAAGCCCTACCCATGGGAACTTGTACCAGCCCTACCCATGGGAACTTGTACCAGCACTACCCATGGGAACTTGTACCAGCACTACCCATGGGAACTTGTACAAGCCCTACTCATGGGAACTTGTACAAGCCCTACCCCTGGGAACTTGTACAAGCCCTACCCATGGGAACTTGTACCAGCCCTACCCATGGGAATTTGAACCAGCCCTACCCATGGGAACAACTGATTGATCTCGAAATCCCTAGGATTTACATCTGGAATTGTAGTGGATTGAACACCTATAATCAATACAATAGTAATAAACCCCATATTTTATAAATCTGAACATACCTATATATATTACATTATAAAATTATCTGTACCCTAACTACGTTCATTAATTTCTGTACGAACCTATCGGTTCGGTTAACCGCTATAGGGTCAAACGACTTAGGGTCAAACAACTAAAGGTCAACCGGCCTAAGGTCAAACGAAATAGGGCCAAATGACAAACGGTCAAAAAAGCGACAAAAAGTAAAACATCAAAGAGTCAAAATGGAAAAAAATTATTTATTATTTCAGGGTTAGGTTAGGTTAAGACAATTTGTGGGCTGATCAGTGCGGATAGGACATGCTAAGGGCCGATCGCTGCGGCTAGGGTTTCAACTTTGTTGGCACGGCCACCAGCCTACCACAGGTGTACATTTGAATATTCAAGCTGGGCCAATCTTTGCAGTCATAATTTTTGGAATGTACCACCAATCTACAATTACTAAAGCAGCAGAGGAGTGTGGCCTATTTGAACCACTAGCTTAGTTTAATGTGATAACATAGGGCTTAATCCACCTTACCCTACAACTAAAAAACGGCTTGGAATAAAATGCCCACTTTTTTTACTTTTCCACCTCCAAATTAAGAACATACTTTGGGAGTGTCAAACCCTTCGCGTATGATGTTCTAATAAGAAAAAATTTTGAACGCTTGCTCTTAGACTTATAATCTGCAAAATTTTTTCTATTGCGAAAGTTTGTCTGAGTTTTTTATATTGATCTACCAGGGGTT